ACAAAATGATATGATATATGCTCACCATTTAATATCTTTAGAATAGAAATTATTAGAGTACACGTAAGTTATAACAGAAGAATATTATTATGATCGTAGCACATAAGGTGATTTTAAATAACAAGAGATCTAGGAAAAAAAAAGATCATGTAAGCCAAATTCAAACTTTGTACAGCCTAATCAGAGTCACACAGTAATCAACAGACTGTATGCCAGAAAACGATTGAATGTACCTATTACCCCAAAAAAAGTAAAGTAAGTATCAGAAATCAAAAAAAAAGTTTGCACAACGGAAAGCAACCGGACTAGTTTGGCGGCATCACCATTAAAGAATCTTCGAATTCACAGTGAATGAAAAGTTAGTATTTTTTTACTTCCTACTCCTCCATATCTTTAACATCAGCTATTGATTGTTCATCCATTTCACTAACTCCATGGTCTACATCATCTTCATCATCCTGAAAAATAAATAGCTCATATGGTGGGATTTGGATAAGTTAACCTCTCGTTCTGTTACACCGGTTGTTATGCCCTCCTCCTTCTCATCTCCCGCGTCTTCTTCATTTCTATCAAGTGCTAGTAGCATTTTTCGGAACTGTAATTTTAATTTGCGAGAAGAATTATGTTGCAAACTCACATTACAAATTTTATGTGCAAGCTTGAAATGTCCCTGAGTAGTGTTTCGTTCTTCTATAACTTCCGGTCTCATTTCTTCTAAGGCAGAATGTGGTTGAAACATAGGGACATTTCTTCTGGTCACCGCCTTTTCGTACACTTTTGCTGGTTCAGAAGGAGAATACTCTTGGACTTTTCTGAAAAGATAACTTTGAAAATATAGAAAAATAGCATCCTCATTACACTTCAGTGAATCCATAGAGCTTCATGAGGAAGTTTTTCAAGTACAACAAAATGAAGCAAGCTTGACTGTTCACCATAAGATCAAAGAGCTCAGACTTATTCTCAGGGAAACGACCTAAATCAAAATCTTGATCAAGTTTTAGAAGTTTTAATTTACGGTATATGTGATCCGGTTCAAACAAACTATCATCATCTTCTAAGCCACCGTAAGGATTCGTTATCAACCTTTCTTTGAATTGATTCAATATAGCCTGTCCAGATAGAGCAATGATCCCATCAATATGCCTGATCGCATATAGAGGCTCATCCATTACTTGGTAAGGGAACATGGCAATATTGTCGGCTACAAAAATCCACTCTGACAGAGGTAACTTTTCACGGCAGTCGTCACTGAATAGTCTGGAAAAACATCAATATAAGAATTTATCATACTGTAATGGTGATGTACCTCAAAACACTATTAAGGAAAGATCTTCGATGAGATCTATTGCCTCTCAAGCTTTGATATAAGCCACTCAATATAGCTTGACCATCATTTGAAAACCGTGGGAGACCGAAGTGATCCAAGTTATTCTTAGCTGAAAAATTATTAAATTGAATAAGTTAAATGGAATTTTTTCCAACCAGAAGAAGACAGAGAAGACGAATCACAAACTCGGATACCACGTACAATAGAGTATTTATCCTTGTTGATCATCAAATGAAGCTTATAAGCAATTCGGATCCCCGCAATGGCTTTACTCTTAAATTAAGGAAATAATACCTCTCAATATGGAGGACAACTCACTTGCACCATTCCTGCGTACTTGATATCAATTTCTTTCAACAGGTTCTCCACTTTATTGCGAATTGGTATGATTGGATCAGTAGTCATAGCGATAAGACTAGCTATGGATGAACCAGGAGTAACTAATCCTTGAGAAAGTGTCAACCAAGTAACCTTAAAGGAACAAAATACTACTAGAAAAAATTCGTAGAACATACCTGTACAGCTGACTGACGTACTACAGTGTCAACGTGGAAATAGCAGTTCAAGACATTGAGCCAATATATTTGAATGACCGCAGAACCTAATCCTGATCCAGCTAACTCCATTTCCTTCAAGTTTTGTTGTTCTTTTGCTTTATCCCCTGTAAATCTCAATCAACAACGAACATGCTCCGCAAGAAACGAACACTCTTCGTTGCTCTTCATCAGCTTCTTTTCTTCCGCCAATAAAAACATTTCCAAATTCTTCAAAGCTTGGATCTTCAGTTGCAGATATCTAGCCTCTGATGTACTGAGAACTAAACGGTACATATGCTTGATTTCGTCTCTGCCCAAATATTCTGCATGACGAGCACAAAGATGACCTACGAAATATAGTTAAATTATACGAAAGAATAGTTAGAACTACCTATAGAAGATATAGCTTTCAATCGAATGTTCTGATTGGCACTCTTGGAGAAGAAAGTTAGTAAAGAGAAAACGTTGTCTCTGTAACGCCTGCGTTCAGGAACATCGGTCACTTCAATATTATCTGCCATCGACTGATTAGGTGGTAGATTTGTCTTAAACAAACAATTTTACTTTGCTACATAAAACTATTAACTCACAATAACCAAACTTTTCGCTGCTTCCGCATCGTTTTCTAACATGAGATCGAAATCGAAGTATCGGCATAATAATCCTAACGAGAAGAGAGACCTGGATTAAAATAGTTATGATCAACCCGGATTCCAACTGTTACCTCTGAAGCATGACCATATGGCTGGGTTGTGGCACATACTTATCATTGTTTTTATAGTTGGCCTGTACGCTATTCATATTTCGGAGGAAGTAAAGGAACTTTTGAGTCATTGAAGTTTGCTTTCTCGGGAAATTGTTATAGACTGCCGCTGCACAAGCTACGACTGACACGACAATAAGCATTCCACTGGTCATCAGCAAACTACTGAGAGAATCGTCCAAACTGAATAACAATGTCAGAATTTTGGCAGCAAAAAACATTCGAACTACCTCTGGAGGAAAGAATCACTCGGGTGGCTCATAAGAGGTACTACTCTTTCCAACATGCATATGACTTCGTTCAGAACAGATTGCTCAGATTGAGAACGAGCACTCATGGACAAGTATGGTTGCAGAGTTTCAGCGTGACGAACAAGAAGCTCTGGCCTAACCTGAAAAGTATTTCATATAGTAAGATATTAGAAAAACCACATACTTTACTGAACATTGAAAGTGTTGTCAGAGACGCTAACATGCGTTCCTGATTTTCCTTTTGCACATTTAGGACAGTTTCATCATCCAGATCAGTTGAAGACTTCACAACATCCACGGCTATTTTTTTCTCGAGTGCAATTATACTATCGACCAAAGCATCCACAATTTGCTTACTTGCTTCCAGCATCGACTGTAAAATTCTGTTGTGAAAAAAAATCAGTTGCGAGTAATTTACCTTATCAGCTGTTTTCAAAACAGCTTGCAACAACTGCTCGAAAAAATCTGTAGTACTTTCATTTGCACAAAGTTGAGCCACAGATGTCATTTGCAGAACCTACAGATAAATCATACTTTGTTCCTATCATACTTCTACAAACCTTTTTGCAGAGATGATCAACCGACTTGTCAGAACAAGGTTGGAACCACAAAGCCATGAACGTCTCTTGCACCAACTTCTTAACTCCGTCTTCATCACTAATTCTGCGAACTAGTTTCGAAAGCAGATCAGGAATCTAAAAGTAAAAAAATAGAAATATTATTCCGAAAAAAACTAACCTGATGATAGTTCGGATATTTTTCACAAATCTCTCGCATAATTCTTATAACTCGCTTTCTTACAGCAGTTCCAGAATCCTAGATCAACAATGATAAATACTCGTGAGTAACTGATAGACCGACCTTTATTCTTTCTAGCAGTATATTATAATAGCTAGGAATAAATTCTTCCTTAACTAGCAAGAATTTCCCCAATAACTCTATGGTTGCTTCTCGCACAGCAGCATTTGGGTCAATCATTCGTGAGTTTACAGCTTGTCGTACATCGTTCTTAGAAAAAACATGATCTCTGACCAAAAACTATATCTCACCATTCCCAATACTTCATAATCTGCTTCTATGATTTGAGTGAGACACTTCATGGCTTTAGTTCTCAAACTAACCGTATTTTCAACTTGAATACCATAAATTATCTAAATAATATGAATAATGATCATGACAAGACACCAAACATACAATTTTGAGATACTGTTGGAAAGAGTGTGTGAACTCCCTTTTCGAGGCCAAATATTTAACGGTCCACGCAGCATCCAAATCGAGCATTATGTTTCCGGTTTTCCTGAAACATATATCAAAAACTCGAAGAATTCTGAGTTCATACTTGAGGTGTTCAGCTCTTCTCCTCACATGCTTCTTGTCGACTAATTTTATAAGAAAATCTTTCATGACTTGAGTTTTCTCTTGCATTTTGTCCATCTTTTTCTCCAACTTCCGCTTTTCCTAAATACAGGGATAAAGAACGTTTTCAAGTTCAGTAAAACCTTATCGGTCAGTTCTGTTGACTTGTCTGACTTGAAATTCTGCTTCGCAACTTCTAGATCATCAACCGTTTCTTTATACCATTCAGCGGCATAAAATTGGATAGCATACTGAAGGAAATGGTAGGAAAAGGTAAGGAACGAAAACAATTTATACCTCGACAGTAATATCTTCGCCGTTTTTCTCGATGAGATAATCGATTAGAGCCTGCTCTAACTTCTTTAAACGATCAGCAGATGAGTACTGTAAAGCATGAATGAAAATGCACACGAGCGTGTGTTCTTGTTATACCTCACTAATATCCACGTCAGAAACGTTCTCATACGTCGGTTCTTCTTCATCGTCATATATGATTGTTTTGAGCACAATCTGGAAAACAAGATACAATTAATTGAAAAACGATTGACAAAAACCTCAAATCGTTTCGCCGAATCTTCCTCGGCTGATTTTGTATCTTTTCTCAATCTAGCGGTTATGGATCCAAGATAGTCAAGACAAGCTTGTCTAATGACGATATCTGTAGATTTTGCTCTGAAATACAATTTTGAATGGAACGAGAAGATGGTGAAGATAACCTATAATATTTGACGAGCAGGGAACCCAATATAGACAAAATCAATTCCGCCGCAGGCCAAGCAGGCTTGTGAAGAGCTGCTAATAGATCTTGGAGAAAAGCTTCGAAAAGCCTTCTGTAATCTTCTTCACCGTCAGTTTTATTTCCTTTGTTTGCACATCTTAAAACAAAATGAATGAATGACTCAATGAACTAGCCTACTTCGATAAGAATCCACTAAGAAAATTTCCAGTTAACTTTTGAGCATCTCGTAAAGAGTCTTTAACAATTGAATCTGGATTAATTTCTCCTTTTCTATCTTCTTCTTCATGGCGTTTACGAGGAGCCATCTGTAAAAGCGATTTTAGAGAAAGTCAAATGCTTTTGAGTTCACCTTCACAGATGATTGAATGAGTTGCATGATGAGAACAGTAGTGTTACTTATCCATTGTTCTGGTCCTAGTCGGTAGCTGTTATTCGTATTCTTTCCAGGTGGGAGACGATGAAGAGAATTCAAAATATCATGTAAAATACCGATACGTATGGATTCTGAGCTTTTCGAGAATATATTAGACGCTAAAATCATTGCCTAAAATCAGAAGATGATAAAAATACTTCAGTAAATCACAAAAAACCTGTCGTTGCAACTCTCCAACATTACTAACAAAAAAAGAAGCTATCGCCATGGTCGCCAAATGATGAATACTCGTTTCCGGAAGAGGTTGAACACGAACCTAAGAACAAAACAAAATAAGAGATTAGAATTTTTGAAACCGACCAGCTCGGCGAAACATCCAACTAGATCAGCAATTCGATCATATATCTTCTGTATCGAATGCGACCGATTGCTAACCCCAGCTTTGCGTTTCCTACGTGGATCTTCGGCTGAAAAACATGACAAGTTAAACTTCCGGCAACACCAAATGCTTCATCACCTTTCCCCTTCTTGGCGTTTGTATTATTTGAGCGAAATACACTGTCAGAAGCGGGAAAAATTATGTGATTGAGATACTGCTTGCATAAGTTGATAGCCCGTTCGATGGTATCTTCAATGAACACCTAGGAAATTATGTTTAATAGTAACGATGTAGTAGTAACGCACTTGTTTGGGCATCTTGTAACTTGTCATGACCATTAATGCAGTGCAAGCCGCATCTGCTGCACGAGCTAGTCGATCGTGAACCAACTCCTTGAATGTCATATCCTCTTCCTCGGTGTTCTTGAATAAGAAGCGTAACTATATATCATAGTAAAACTAACATCCTCCAGAAGAACAGGAACCAATAGCCTCGAGCCATCTTGACTGATCACATCTTTCATGTTTCTTTCCAACATTGTCTCTAGTTTAACCAAACGGTCCACAGGCACGCGATTCAACTTTTTCCAACTCTTTAGCTTCTGTGTTTGATTCCGCAAATCATCAAGAACGCTTCTCTCAATGAGCAATTCTTGACTGACTTCGTCATCTTCTTCTTCGTCGTCTTCAAAAAGAACAATAATTGAAAAATGAGCATGATTTACTAACCGCTTTTTCCACAAGTCATCAGAACATCCATGTCGTCAACTTGATCCAAAATTTGATCAACCAAAGCTGTGAATCTATTGAACGAGTCGTTCTCCGCCATAACCTGAACCGAGGTGTTGTATCTTCAAAATGATATTAATAAACGAACATCGTTATTCCAATAATCTTGAACGTTTTCTTCACATTTTCTTCTTTTCCGCTTTTCCAATCGCTTTCGTTGCCTTTCATTCCACTCAAGCTCTCGCTGTTGTATCACTAAACCGCATGATAACATTCAGAAAATGAAAAGTCAACTACCTTCAGTTGGAGTGGGAGGACGTTCTTCTCTTTCCTCTTTCTTTCTCTTCTTCTTCTTATCATAAAACTTATTCTCATCTTCCTCACTCGGAAGATCCTCCTTTCCATCTGTATCCTTATCTTTCTCGTCAGTATCACCATCACCTTGTTCCGACTGTTCTTCTTCGAAAGTTTTTGTACGGTTCCTTCTCCTTCTTCCTTGAGTAGGATCAAAGTAGTCGGTGAGCGAATCGAATAAACTCTCAACCTGAAATATGACTTTGCTCGAGCAGAACGTCGAAAGTAGCAAACCATATCCCGCTTTTTTCTTTGAGCTTGAGCTTTTGGCTGCTTGCCTACGCTTGCCATTTGTCTCCTAAGCTTTATTGCTTCCTGGTCTAATTGTACTTGAACTTTTGGAGGCTCTTTGTTTGGAACATGAGGTGCAAGATTGAGAGAGAGCGATCCAGCCAAAGCACTTGTAATCTTGAAAAAAAAGAACTCAGATTACAGCAATTGAAAAAGTCTTACAGGGCGGTTCATATCGTCTTTGATAGCAGTGAGCAAAAGATGTTCCGTTTCAGCTATGCACATGTTATGCTCGGGTTCAACATCCAAAGCCTACAATAAAAGAAACTTTCGAAACGGTAGAGAAATTGAACTAACATTGCAGTTATATTCCATAACATCTTTGATGAGTCGGGGCATCTGATCTAACGGCAAATCATTTGTTTCAGCTAATTCTCCATGTTGATCTAATCTTGTTCTTCTGAAACGATGATTTTAAACTGAATTATATCGAGTCAAGCTTACATGTCTCTAATATTAACTTTCGATAAAGCATGGGATATCATCTTCACTATATTCGGATCCGAATGCTCCAGAATGGGTAAGTTTTCGCTGGGGCAAACGCCAGTCAAGCCGGAGCTTTCCAAGTGTTCACTCGGGAAAGGAACAAGCTTGATAACTGAAAATTTCAGGCATTAGAAAAAGCGTAAACAAAATGAAATATACAGTTATTGATGAAATGAGTTCCCACTAATGCTAAAGGCTGTTGCAAGTTACCTACTCGAGTTGTACATTCTTGTTGAAGCTGTAAAACAGAAAAATGAAGACAATAAATTTGTAAGAACTTACTTTTTCATCCTCCTTCTGTTTTTTCATCTGTTCATCCCTAATTCGCATAAGTTTTTCCCTCTCTTTCTGCTCACGCTCTTCTTTGATCTTACGTTCTTCTGCTTGTCGTTCAGCCTCCATCTGAGCAAATCATTATTTTCTGAGTTTCAACCAATATAACAATAACCAACCTGTTGCCGCAACTTCTCCTGATGCTCCTTTTCTCTCTGTTCTCTCAACTTTTTCATCATTTCTTCTCTCTCTGCTCTTTCAGCTTGCTCCTGATAATTAACATGAAAAACCATTTTCGAAAAATCAGAAAACCTTTTGTTTCCTAGTATTCTCTTCCTGTCGCTTGATTTCTAATTGACGCGCTTGTTCTTCCAATATTCGTTGCTGCTCATGCTGAAAAGAAGACAGTTAGGTAAAAGCGAACATCTAATCGTACCAGAGTGAGTTGTTGCTGTAACTGCTGAGAAGGCTGAGTAGGTTGTAGTCTTTGTTGAGTTTGTTGTTGTAAATGATGCTGTAGTTGATGAGCTTGGGCATTTGACTGAGTCAGTGCTGATAGATGTTGGTTGAGCTGACTAGACAAGGCAGCATGAGGACTCTGGTGTAAACTGTGTTGCGATGGTATCTGAGTTTGGAGAACAGAGTGACTTTGTACAGAGGAATGGTGGGATGAAGAATGCTGGCTCGCTAGGCCGGTGGGGTGTGGAGTCTGCAACGGTCCTTGAACTTGAGAGTGAGAAAGAGCATGCGAAACTTGATGTTGCCCCTGATGTTGCCCCGACAAGCCTGATAGTTGTGCTGGATGTTGCGTTGGACGTTGGAGCTGGTGCTGAGCTTGATGTTGAGCTGGACGTTGATTTTGCAATTGATTTTGCAATTGATTTTGAAGTTGAGTTTGCAGTTGAGACTGAAGTTGCAACTGGTTTTGAATTTGGGTCTGATGTTGCGGTTGGATCTGAGTTTGATGTTGGTTTTGCTGCAACTGATTAGGTTCTTGAATAAAACGCTGATGTCCATGGGTAAGTGAAGACTGTTGAGGGACTGACTGTTGAGACAACACTTGTTGGGGATGGATCTGCATAAAGAAATTCAACAGAGAGCTAACAGGGAGTACATACATGTTGAGGTTGTTGGAACATTGGAATCTGTTGTTGCAACATCATATTGTTGTATTGCTGCTGATGAAAAGGATCCATATTAATAACCTAAAGAAACAATAGATCGACTTCAATATTTCTGCCGAACATACCTGATTTTGACCATAAAATTGAAATGGATTCATATATTGTTGCTGCAGAAGCATCTGAAAACACAGGAAATAAGGCTATATGGAGCAATTACGTTACTTGATTGTAATGCTCTTGTGAATTCATCATCTGCTGTTGTGTATGACCAGGTATGTTCATATTATTCTGATAATTCTAATTTCAACTTATAAATATTAAAAGAGTCAAAAAACCTGTATATCACGTGGATCCATGGTTACTATAAAGCTTGGGCTGTGCCCAGCTTATACCGACGGATCAAACCCTAAAGTAGATACTTTAATAATTGAATAGCCAGAAAACTAAAAAGATGTTATCAGGATTATAAACAACGTTGAAGCTCTGACCTTGAGTGCAACATGAACGCCATTTAACTTGAGCTCAGCATTCAAAAAATACGGTATCATTGGAGCGCGCTTGCCTATTAGTTGTATGGCCGGGTAACAACAGCTTCCATTTTCCAACAAAAAAAGTATTTTTGCCTGAAAAGAATCCAGATCTGTAAATACAATTTAATGAGAGAAGAAAAAAACCTTTTGAATGATATTAATTTATTAAACCGTAGCTGTTTGTAATATCATATTGTTATGCGAAATAAGAATCTAAAACTGGCTCCTCGTTTTCTTGAGGCTTTAGAGGCTGCGAAACATCTAAATCTCCTATAGGGAATTTGTTTAAATTCTTAGTGTTTCGTTTGGAGCCTAATTTCAAAGAATCTTCACTGGAACTTCCTTTTGTTTTTGTTGCGGGCGAGCTCTTAGTTGAGCTGCGAGTTCCATCGCTGGATGTTCCCGAAAGTTTATGCTTCTGGCAGGAATAGATGCTGAATCCAACTAGAATCATCGCCACAACAGCTAAAATTGTGATGAGCACAGCACCATGTCTGTAATTCCATAATGATTATCGTTGCTCTCGAACACTCACATCAAATTGAAGTTGTTGAGCTTGAAAAGTCTATTATCCACTTCACTGTCTGAACGAGAATAGAACTCCAGTGTGCCGATTGAACCTTACTTGTTGTTTCATTCATCTGTATGTCTAATGATGGTTTCGTAACTTCTTCATTCAGTGAACTGTTTCTTGAAATAACCACATTTGTTGTATTGTCCAATGGCATGATTATGTGGGGAACTGATGAAGTTACAGCTTGTGTTGTTGTCGAAGCTTCCGTTGGCTTTGTAACGCTTGCAGACTCGGTCGTTGATGCAAGAATAGTAGAAAGGTCGTTAAATGCGAAAGAAGTAGATGAAGGAGTCGTAGTGATGTTTCTCGTTGTTGAAACATTTTCTCTACTCGGCTCAGTTGTTGTTTGTATGTCAATAGGTTTGACAGGAACAGTAAATGAACTTGAATGGACTTTTTGTCGGGTTGAATTTGTTTCTGAAAGGAGTCTGCTGAACTTGTTCGCTTTTGATGCAAGATACCATAATTAGAAGTAGATGTGGATGATAATATCTTTGAAGTTGTTGATTGTGTTAGCAATAAGTCATCGGTGTTTGTGACGATCAGATTTTTACTCGACTCTGGGCACTGTATAAAAGTTTGCAGGTTTGCATCTCTCACCCTGCGGTTCTTCAATCTCTCCTGGAAGAAGACCACTCCCGTATTCTTCTACTTCTCTTGATTCATTGGTCATCAATGTATGTTGGGGCTTGCTACTATCTGCTCACAAGTATCATTCCGTACAATAGTTTGGTAAAAACACCTTTACCATTGACCGCAAGGAATTCCTCCGACGAAACACAACTGGAGCAAAACAACAATACAAATAGAACTATAGAGTTCAACTCTGGAATATGAGAATTGATTTTAAAATTGTTTTCATAAAGTTACTTGAGATATTCAATTTCGTGAGTTTAATCATCGTTCGCGCGGCCGCTATGGAACGGAGAAGAGAACGACCGGGTCGAAAATAAAAACCGTTAGCAATAACGGCTCACGTGGCACGTGGAAATTCAAACGTGGTAAACAACTTTACCTGGAAAAGAAAAAAACAAGATACATTCAAAAATTTATTTTTTTTAAAAAAATATGTACAGCTTCAAATAAAACTATGGAGAATCGAAAGAACAAATTTTGAAATAGCCTAGTACAGAATTCATCAGATGGATAGATTGCATACTTTTGCTACAGCCAACAACTATCATCTTATGCTTTGCACGAGTTAAAGCCACATTGACTCTTCTATGATCAGTTAGTAATTCGCACTTCTGAATGATAGATTGAATACGGCAGAATGTTCCGGACAATACAAACCTTTCCTGAATTTTTCGTCCACACTAGAGACCATATGATGACAGATTTATCTCTTCCTTGATACTGGTCAACAGTGTTTACCTATGAATGAAAGTTTTTGAATTCTGGAAAGAAACCGTACTTCAATGCTAGGACAATCCAATATTTGACGCATATAATCCACTTGCTTTCTATACAGACACATCACTCCGATATCTTCAGGCTGAATACCTCTCTGAATTGAAAAACAATTAATGGATTAACAAGAGTAAAGCCACCTCTATCAAAATTTTCACAAGTTTATCGACAATTATAGCTTCTCCTTTGTTCTGAACGTTGCTACCAACTTTGGATGTCAAACTACACGCTTGATTGTTCTCTGAATCCGTATCGATGAAAACACAGGAGTCATCTATTTTCGAGGATAAAACTAAAGTCTCCCAAGCTGAAACATAGCCAATGTACACAGTAATAGTACGCGCAGAAACGAACCTGAGCTCACTTCTTTCGCACTAGGCTTGATGGTAGCTGTCTTCACTTTTTCACTCACACAAATCATCCTGCTATCATAGAATAATTCTGATGATACCCGTGATATTTGCCTGAAAGATACAAACCCATACTACTGATTCTGAGATATTATTCATACTCATTCATGCGATACTGGGAAACGAGAGATGTCACACATTGCTTGAACTGCGAAAGCTTCTCGAACAGAGATACGCCCATCCCTCCTTCTCTTGCTTCCTTATCTTGAACTAGAGGGCTGAGCTGGTTTGCATCTCCGACAAGAACGAACTTTGAAGTAGTTGCCAAAGCACTGAGCATGACAGGTTCAAGAACCTGAAACAACTGTGGAAAGTGAGAGAGCTATTGGAATACCATAGAGGCTTCATCCACAATGCAAATGTCGAACTTTCTCCAAGAAAACAAGACATCTCTGGAAGTGTTATGACAAGTACAACAAACAACTGGCTGAAATGACTCTGTTAAATACATTGTGCAAGAAGTACTCACAGTCTCTTTCAGTATGGATCGCATCTCTTTATATACATCTTCACAATTTTCCGACCTAATCTTCTGTCCTAATGCGAGTCTCTTAACTTCTGGGCGCATGGCATTCTCATTACCCAGTCGGAGAAGCTTTTCTTCAGAAATTGTCTTCAAGCAGCACAATTATCAATGAACTGATGGGTAACTGACTTCAGCAAGTTTGACTAGAATGTTATCAACAGCAGAGTTGGTAAAGGAGGTTATCAACACAGATTTTCCTGAAGCCACAAGACACCGAACAAGTACCGCAATGGTACAAGTTTTTCCTTAAAAGCAACCTCTATCAAATAACAGATAGAGACAAAACCTGTGCCAGGCAACCCCTCAATCAGAGAATAATCTGACACACATAGAGAGGAAATGATTGCTTTCTCCTGCTCTAAAAAACATGTAGATGAATTAACTAGTCGTCAATGAGAAACCTTTGTTCACACTAGAAGTCCTCAGAATGTGTTGAACAGCTAAAGGGAGATTCTTTCTATCACTTTCCACTTTTTGAGGAGGTTCTAATCGAACTATTGATTTTCTGTGTTTCGTACTGAAGATGTAGAAAAGAGTTCAAATTTAGTAAAAACGAAGATACCTCAGCTCATCTGATCCCATCAGATTAGAAACATTTCCTGTAGTTGTTACGTAGGTTGAAAAGCTGTTATACACATCAATATGATACAATTTGCCACACTTCATAATTTTCGGAGAGCTTTCATAGCGTATTGTTATAGAGTTACCTTAAAGAATGATTTCGGCAACAAGTTCAAACTGGTAACGCTTACAGTCACTCGCAAAAATAGCACTCAATAGAATTCCACTGTGTGTATCACTCGAAACGGTGCACATTACGCTAGGTTGAAAGACTCCTTCAGGGATATTCACCGGACTGGAACATCCTGATTTACAAAAAAACTTTACTAGAACTGACCGTTCAAACTTGAGTAAGTAATAAGAATCCTTCTTCACAGCTCCTTCAAACTTCATATGAGCCGCGCAAAAACCTTTCGATTCTCTGAACATATGCTACCTCAACCCAACTTTTTTTCAATCGAAACCTCGTATCGGGGTCTTCATTCCACAAACTAGAGAGCTTTCGAAGAGATTTGATTTCTCTATTCCATTCCAAGTTGATGAGCCCAATCCATTTTTGAAAGTATTCTGAACATCATCCTTGAAAAAATTTCAGGTTTCAGAGTATTCACTTATCTCAGATTCATTGAGATGATTCAAATAACCTTCAGCGAAGCTTTTAAAAGCATCTGAAGCTGGACTTTTATATCCAACCTGAATGAAACTTTATGTGGTCAAGACCAACAGACACACCTGTAAGAGAGAGCAAGTTAGGGCTTGATCACATTTTCCACAAAAATGAGGATCATTCCTCGGTTCTACAAAAGATAACTCAAATATAATATTCCAAACGATACCTGGGAAGGAAAGATCTTTCTTAGCGAAGTAAAAGGCCAAATCATTTCTCTGCTTCAAGATGCCTTTCAAATCTAACGCTTTTGGAGTAACAGTCCTAGTTACTCCGTCCTTCAAATACAACAATGAGCCCGAGCGAATAGGCTGATTGTACCTGATGGATAACATCATACAATACAGTAGTACCTATAAAAAAACAAAACCATAATTAGCCCTAGCTAGTATTACTCTTACTTGACTACTGTGTTCGAAAGACTGCTTGCTCTTTCCTGTCTTCAACTCGAGCGGTTCCAACAAACTCTCTACACCTTTGTTAGTTGTCTATGAAGTCAAAAAGTTTATAGCGAAAATTAGGTACGTACTAGTAAAGTGGCATCGATTTTTCCTTTAATCCCCAGAAGAGGTTCCCAGACGTTTTCTTCAATATCATGAACCTGTACAGATGTGCTAACAACCTAACAAATATTGCTTACTTCTTCAATAGAATTTCCTGTGGGCATTTTCAAAGCCTTGCTGAAGACTTTTCCCTTGTTTGGAATATGATTTCTCACCCAGGTAACGATTACCTAGAAGAGTTTAAAAGGATGCATTGAGAAAAAAGAACAACTTCCGCGTATGGTTTCAACTCTGCCTCAAACCCGCGGGGTGAGAAAGTCAGAGCTACGAAAGATTCCATCACATTACTGGAAATATCATTCCTCCAACGACTAAAAATCCATTCATGTGTGATTTGGGCAGGATTAGGACATTGAATAGCAACCTTAATATCTTTAATGAATATGGCCAAAGAAAGCTTGAAATACTTGAAAAAGCTCGTGCATGATACAACCAATAAGCATTGCCTTGTTAGGTTCGATGCTCATTTTGAAGCGATCATTAATGATTACCTAAACTAAGTTATTCAAAACTTCTGGTATATAACTGCAACTCACTTTTCTAGTACACCAGGACGAGCTAGCTATAGACGTACATGGAACAAGCACATCAGGATTTGCAATGGCAAGTCCCTCTTCATCATTGACCAGCCAATCCTAATAACGTAGTCATATCTTCGGTGATCTATGTCAAGCTTACACTTCCTCCCCATAACTTCCCTCCGATGATTCCTATAGCCATTCCAACTTCCACTTTTGTTTCAGACCATATTCCCTTAGAAAATAAAACATCAAACAGTAAAGATTGAGAGACGAACCTGGAGATACACAACACATTCAACATCTTTGTTGTCAGTACAGGTTAAGGTTAGAGTGTAATCGTCATGACTTATTTCTTTAATTATGAACTTCTTTTTAAGTCTTGAGTCGTTCAAGGAAGGGAAACCATCAACACCACTGACTATAGAACAAGTTTTTGTTTCTTAAAACAACTCATAAACTCACAAATTTCTTTGTATTTTACTTCAGGCGAATCTCCACATAACTCGTCAAAAGAGTCCGCGTCTGACACATCGTTTTTAGCACTTGTAACTGAACTAAAAGATGATTGCATATATACATATTAAAACATACAAGTAAGAGGTATATCGAACGAATCATTTGACCCTTCACGATCCCCCTTTTCTGCAAAGATAAGATATTGCAACAGGCTCAAGTTTAGTCTTACCTAAATAGCCTAGTTTCGAACTACGATGACTGACGACGTCATTGTTATCAAAAATAAAGTTTTCTTTAACGCCTAGTAATAAGAAAATGAATGGAAACTTTCAAACTTGCACAAACTTGAATGCTGAGTAAGTTTTGTCGAATGTGGTACAGAATTAGTATTATTTTCACTCGCTTGGTTGATGTCCTTCTCCACAAGGATTTTAGGTGATCTTAAAGTTCCTGCTTCAAGTGAGCTGAGTTAGGAGATCACCTTTTTTTACTGATGTCATGAGCTAATCCTTTTGCGGGAGAATCGGAGAGGTTAGGTTTTTTTGTACAGAAAACATCGCCATCCTCGTCGAAAGAATCATTTGCGGTATCTACGACAAGTTGCTCGTACGGTAAAGGCCTTTTCCTGGAGGTGGCCTGGAACTTTCTCTCTCTTCATAATGGGACTCCAGCAACTCTTACCGTTTTAGTTTCTTTGTTATTTAGATGCATAATAAGTTAGTATTGTAAAAATTAATTAGTCATTTATGCAGATGACATAATAAAAACCCCTCAGGTATCCGCTAGTAAGGCTGGGTGATTTGAATATTTACACTTTCGCGCCGTTTCACTATTGTCAACGGAGCACAGTTCTATCCATACTGCTCATTTCATTTTAGCAGGTGACAGATAGAGAACGGTTGTGCATAGTGCGCTCTATATTCAATATGCATATGAGATTAATTGTTGTGTGTGAAGGAAAAGTATGGTTCGAAGGTTTATTATATTTTGAAAACAAAAGTATTATTAGACATATGACGCAGCTTTAACAACGGTTCTTCCTAGGATCAGGCTTGGTCGTGATTGTTTTCACGAACAACTGTTGAATAATAGACATCCAAAAACGAATAGAAAATGAATTATTGAGGAACACCGGAACCTCTCCATTGGATTCATAAAACCGCATTTCATGTGAAACTCATCCCCCAGGAACTAGAAAGTCACCCAATCAGGAGCACATGTTATGAGGAATATGAAGTACAGATATGAAAACACGTTTTCAATCACCCTGGCTTCATTTATTTTTGAAAGATTAATCAATTTTCAAAGTCGCTTTCATAGACAAAATCCCGCAGTTTCTAAAACTGGATATCTGGCAGCTACCCTGATAAAGGAAGGATTCTACGTGTAGTCAATGCTATATGGTGATGCTACCTCGGCTGCTTCTCTTCGTTTTCTGTGGCGTCCAAGCCATAGGTAATGTCCGTTAATTGATTTCTCAATTAGGCTTATTTTTAAGATTTCATTAAGCTAGCATGTGATCAATACCCAAACCTGCCTAATTGTGAAAAAGTTGTTCGCAGAGCTGCACCTAAAAACCCTTTCAAGGAAAGATTGACTCCTACTGAATCTCCTGTTCAATATGTTTACTTGGTTCCATGCTGAAGAGTTTAAACCATAGTTTTAGGAAAATAATGAAGGAGACTACCTAGAAGAGGATATCTCTCTTGAGCTCGAAACAACCACAAGGTCAGTTTCCGAGATGACTAATTCTGAAAACTATCATTATTCAGGCCATATAGAAAAACAACCGTTGCATTACCTCGTCAGAACTTGCTCTATACAATCTTTCCCACCTTCCAGAAAGAAAAAGATTATAGGAAATACTGTCCTGTAAATGAATACACATTCAGAGTAACCTGTCTTCCTGGAAAAAAACTTCGTTATGATCTTCAAGTACTCATAGTTAAACTAATTAAAATATAACGAAAACAGATTTTCTGCCAAGAGTTCGCTGATACCTGCGGCGTGCCCAACATTAATCTCTTCCCAAGTAAAAGTGGAAGAGGAAATGATGGACGACCGATAGGATATGGACAGAAGCAGAAGAATGGTAACCTAGGCTTAGGAAAAAGCTTTGGATTTGGTCTTGGAGCTATACCAGGTTAGAACTTATTACTCGTATTGCCGTAATACTTCTGATTCAGGATTCGAAGTAGTCAGCAGTCAAGGAACTGATATCGGTAACGGTAACCTTCCGTTCTTCAATCAGGTAGTAGCACTGCATACTCAATTTATCTTCACTATTCATTTAGATTGGTGGAATGATGATAAACAGTGGATCTCAACTAGGAGCTCTCGGACATAAGTATGGCAATGGACCCGCTAGAAGCATGAATGCTCTGACCCACGGCTACCCCTCATTTGGTTTAGCTGGACAGCCTACAGACGGCGATAAGAAACTTAGTCAAGAAGTCTTACGTTCGTTTGGAGTACCAAACGTCCCTGGATTGGATAAAGGTAGAAGGTACACAAATACAGTAATCAAGTTATGTTTCAGTCTTCAAAAAACTCAGCGGTAACCGTCCGAATCATTCTATCAAAGGTTACGAACCAGGGTACGGAGCCCTCAACCCAAGAGCTCCAGTGGCTCTTGGAAAGGTTAATATTAGAAATATATTAATTAGTCGATCAATTTATTTAGACCGACGTTGACAATATTAACTTACCTGGAGGTATGGGAGATGTGGAGTTCGTTAAGGGAGTTGGATTTGGAGTGGGAAAGAAGTAACGTCGGTAACTCCGAAGAAAATGAATTGTGCAATCAAACTCATAAATATATAATATTAATAAATATAAATAAAAATGTACTTGAATCTAGAAACGATAATCATATTTATTTTCAAAGGACCTTCCAGAAATTGTACAGGCTCTAAGACAACGAAAGCCAATCAACGAGATCGCAACAGGGCTCAATTAGTATATAATAAGTGAATGATTATATCATTAGGTGAAGAGATTTTGGAAACATAGAACTTGAGACATGATCTGAGTATACATCACAATAGGGTATACAGAAGTAAAGAAATCAGTCAAGGATATGGTATAGACAAAGTGCACTGGTCCAGAAATACACGTATGCTACAATATAATTAAATGTTAGACAATACTCTACTCTTCGAAAACCCAAAAAACTTGGACAATGATATGTTTTCATGACAACAATTCTAAAAACTAGAAGTTACTGAGTGGAAAGGGTTCTTCCTAAAGCAATGTTATGTTTTAATGCAGGTTTTTGACAGGCTTCTTCAGGGGACATTGGTGCCACCTAGAAATCAATGATAAGCGCACTTCTAGAGCTTTATGAATATACCTTAGAGTGCCAAATTTCTTGGTTAATTCTATTTATCAGCTTCTGTGTTCGGTAAAAGCTTTCTTTGCGCTCCACCGATCTTTGAGAAGATCGTTCGGAGGAGCTATCACTAGGCGTTGCAACTAGAAAATATGTAAAACTAGGTTCACCCGGAAGTAATTTACCTTTTCGTTGCCTGGTAACAGCCATCAGTACGACTGGAAGAATAACAAGTCCGTGCCACATTCCGAGACAACAAACTACGAATATAGTCTTCATGAAAACCAGTGCCAAGTATGATTGTTTGAACAGTAGAGGCGCCACAGCGGCAATTGTTGATAAGCCAACCTAAGCATGCCTAGTTGCAATTACATTCAACCTCAGTTAAGAACCTGTACTAACGGCCATCCGATTGTAGACAAAGTTTCATTGACACGATCTACTGGGTCCTGAAAAACTAAATATGAAAAGGCTCACTGATATCAAAGTTTACCGGTTGTTTGGATTTATAGAAATGGTAGGCAATATGACTGGAGAAATCCACAGAGAATCCTATGGCCATCAACAGTGCTGCCATAGATAAAGGATCCAAATCAATATCTTCAAACCGTACATGAGAAAAAAAGGTTCCAAATAGTGAACTTACGCCACAGACTCAGTAGGCCAAGTATTCCAACTGTAATTGAGAACACTGAGAAGCAGGCAGCAACAATACAGACGATGTTGGGAATGAACATAAAGCAGGCTATAGCTGTGCATAGTAAAGCAGCTCCAACTGATCCCCAGATAGTAGCGTCGATAGCCAAGGTCTAAAAAACCAATGGTCAATACAGTGCATTAACGAGAGCAACCGTTCATCAGACATTTTTCTCTCAAAATGAAGTCGTAATCTAATTAATGGAAGATTCACGTATTTCACGGTTAAGTGAAAATCACGTGGAATCTACGTGAGTATGTCATCGAAAGTTCAATTGCGAATGTATATAGTATGGCATATCAAGTGATTTAATTTCGAACCCACCTGATCAACGAAGGGAGAATGATCAGAATAAGCGAAGATTTGGAAATCAGAGTATTTGCTTGCGATTCTTCTCCAATCCGTAACTGCAGGAATCAATTCATGATACTTAATGTGCTACAAAAAAAAAGTTCAAAACGATTTCTCAGAATACTGCATACGTCATGGAAATTTGTCATGAAGAAGAATGATGTGATGCAAGCAGGGTCATCCGCGAGACAGGCTGTTTCATTATACTTCACAAATGAAGTCAAATAGAAGTAAGTAGCGGATTTGAAGAAAGTTGGAATTTCCGAATATGTGAAATCATCTGTTTCACCATAGAACTGAAATAGAAACATAACTATCTACTTTTCATATGATACATACTCTTAAGAAATCCTCATACGGCTGAAGCCAGAAGAAAGTTGATTCAGATCCATAACTGTAGGTAGCAGTTTCAAATTCCTTCACGATCGTTTTGATTGCTAAAATGAATTTCAAACTGAGTGGCTAAAAAACAATCCTTACTATCTAGACGCTCTGGATTTCTCAGATCTCCGGGATTCATGATGAAAACACTAATTGGCTGCATGTTTTTTAAAGATGTTTCGAAATGTGCTTGGAAATCTTGGAGATAAGAGTCAGGTAAAGCCATTTTCTCGATTGAAATCAGAGTGTTCAGCTGGAGGATTCCAACTACACTGACGTAGTAATAAGCAACCATTACTCCGACCAAAGCGAATCTGGAAGACTTTTTTCAGCTTCGTCATTATAATTTACCAACCTCATAGTCCATTGTGATAAAAGCCATGACCAAAACCTAATGAAACGGACTTGCTTATCCACAATCCATTCCACAAAAGGTGATCGAGATTGGGGATCTGCTTTCAGACAACATAGCAAGCTTTGTTTCCCAGATTTTTCACGGTACCCACTAAGGGCTACGACAGAACTGAAAAAGATTATCATCAGTAAACGGAAAGTGAGAAGAGTTTCACCTGAACATAATTAACTGATAGAAGTAACAGATGACTATCGCGACAGCGGAATACAAAGAGAATGCACGTACGGCAGGTGTCTGGGACGTCATCCCGATGAAGAAGGACATGGCATTCGTGATAGCACTGTATAAACATCATTTACGAAGTTTCAAAGAGGTTACTCACCTGATAGTTATACTGGGGCCTGCTTCTTCCATTGTAACACTCATTCTGTTTTCGACAGTTTCTGATACGGATGTTCTATCCCATGCTCTCAAAATGATAAAGACATCATCAACTCCCATCGACAGAACTAAGAAAAGAGCGGCGACGATGATGGACTGAATACAGTTTTATGAGCAGCCAAGTTATTTCTTTGTATTTACTTGAAACTTTAATCCAAAGAAGGATAAGATCCCTGTTGCGGAAAGAAGAGCTAGCAATGGAATCAGACATCCGATGAGCGATTCCCATGGTTTGGCCCTTGAAGGATCTCGTCTGAAAAAATATAATTCGATTTTAAATGATATTAAGTTCGGCCATGTCTACATGGGATCGACGATAAAGAATTATGCCAATAAAATCCCGTTTCCCATGGAAAAAAAATACGCCTAATCGCAACTTTCGTAAGCTTGGAAAGAAAAACAAAAACGAAAGAGGCACAGATGACATCAATGAGAAAACACGAGAAAAAGGAAAGAGAAAAGTGACCTTGTACAAGCCTTGCGTAGTAGACTGAATCAAATTCTATCAGTTTTCTCTTCAAATTTCGAACTTTCTTTATCTTTTTTTTTTACAACAGATTTACTCACGTAGCTGACAGGCTAAGACCGTAACAGTAGCCCCGAAAAAATCTCGTTGTCGTAGGTTCGGGGCGACAACACACAGCTGACAATATATGCATGTCGATGAAATCATGACGTCAAAAGATAAGAATTCAAGAGAATTTTTCGCGAAAAACGAAAACGACAATTTGGCAGAGAAGCGCATGACTTAATTTTGCATATCCTCTTACCTGCCAGAGAAAATGATGACGAAGATGATCATGGCAACTATGGAGCCTACGATAAGAGGAGCTGTTTCCATTCCCATTCGGCGAACTTCAGCGGATACCATAGCATCTCCAGTGACTTCACACTAGATATCAAGTTCAAAATTGTCTTTCAGTCAATGTGTACCTTGAATATATCAAAACGTGGTAACTTGAAAGCCTTGCGTGCTTCCATCAGCCATTCATAGATAACCCCAGATGTTTCATACGAAGTTACAAGATAGAAAGGCAGAATAGCCGTCGAGAAACTTTTGATCTGTTTGGAATTGTTGAACAACTCAACTCCATATACATTATTCCCTGTAAAATAACAATTAGAACTATAATATGGCCTTAAACAACTTTTCATCCTCTCCCCCCCCCCCTCCTATTCACTCGATTATTTTGATCAAAAACGAAAAACCAGGCAGTGAGTCTGTCAACTCACAGTTGGTTTTTCTCCTTCAAATTTCCTCAATTCACCTCAATTTAACTAAATCCTTCAAAGCGGATTAAGCGAATTCATCGGACGAAACGAATACAAAATAGTCCTTCAATTATCCAATAGTTTTTCAAGACTTTGACCATTAAATATGACATTCAAATACACAAAAACGAACCAATGAAAGCTTCTGTTCCGAATATTTCAACTTGGGGATAAGTGAAGGTTGATGGGTTGGTTGAATCGTATAACTTTAAGAAGGCCAGGAAAGCTGTGTTCAGCTCACAGTAAGGCTCACATAAATCCCGAAAAGTATAATTCTGTAATCGATCCTGTTGATTATCGATAGCGAGACGATATCTCTACCTTTCCTTCAAACACCACACTGACATTATTTTGTAAAGTTTTGACGAATTCAATGAGGCGTGAGCGGTAGTTGTCCCGGAGGAGTGAACCGCTGTCACGTGCCAAAACCATAATGTATGAAGGGTCAAGAGTTCCATTCTGAATAGAAACCGTCTGAATGAACTCGAAAAACACTCACCTGGTTCAAAAATGCCTTCGAAACTTCATATTCCTTCCTGCTAGGCGAATCCATTGGAGAATATTCTGTCCGAACATTGTTGACCTGAAGTAGTATGAAATGTAAAAAAGACTTCCGGGAGTACTCGAAACCTCTTCAAACCATATAAGTCCAAGACTGAACAGAATTGTTAAGCATAACGAGAAACATATTACAACTGTCGGTCGTCTTCCAATAAAAGAGCCCAAAGGCAAGAAAATGCGTTCGAGAAAGTTTTCAAAATATCTACACAACATGGATGATTTCCTTAACAACAGCAAAGTTAAAGAGTTTTGAAATGAAAAATTGATTACTTTGTTAGTTAGCCAATAACCCAGAATAGAAAATCTGAAAGAGAATAGAATTAGTAGAAGGCAACCGTTTACAAGATACAACATGTAATATACGAACAGACAAAACGTTTTCTTCAACAAACACAATTTCTTTGCTTTAGTTCCTAATTCCTATTCACAGATGATGGAAAATCGTCTGTTTTAACTGTAAATTAATGGTGAGATGTGGGCGGAGTCAAAATAAGTTTTTGCGGATACGAGACACAAGAAGTTCAGCAGAGAACTTGACGAAAAATTATTGCCTCCGTTTCTTTGGTCTCATAGACTCTACATTTCAACTTTCTTCTTTTGATCCCTTTTACAATTTTTATCATTTTAACGCCATCACAGCTCTTTCCAGTATCGAAGTAAAGGGGAACCCCGTGAAGTACACGAGGAGAAATCGACCTGAACGAATTCATTTCTTGACGTATAGGCGCAAAGAGCGGTTGCATTTCTGATTTCAACACGAATCGATTTGATCAATATGCATCTCTCTAATTTTTTTCATTTATTTGGCAGCGTCTAACAGTACGTGCAAAATGATAAGTGCTAAAAGAACTGGATTGCTATTGAAGAACGGAAGTAGACCATTTTTTTCTTGAGATCAAATTGGAAATTATTGAAACAAAAACTGTCGTCGAACCTATTGCGACTTGTGTGGGAAGTCATTAAAAGTCGAATGGAATTCAACCACTTGATAAATATTTTGATAGTCAGAAGAGTATAATTCAGTTTGCTCTTGTTGTCTTCACTTCTAGAAAATACAGAACCAGGAAGTGAAGAGTTAAAGAAAAATAAAAGAGGAATGTATTATGGGAGTCTACTTCGTAAATTGGTCAGAACTTTCTTCACAATCGTTTTTATAACACAAAGTCTCATAGACAATAAAGCTTCATCTTCCTCATTTAACCAGTTTCAGTTGCAACAAAAAAGGACAAGAACTAGGAGATATTCTAGACGAGAATAAAGACGAAAGAATAGAATGAACATATAAAAAACTCAAAGATAGGGAGGTAATGACCCGCCAGTGAGGTACCGTAGAAGTTTACGATATGTCTTCTTTGATTTTAACACTCTCACGGCTGTAACCTAAGCTCTATCTCGGAAAAAATTAATTGCAAAACGTTCGATCGTAACAGCACAAGAAGTTCCGTGTAGGAAGAAGGCTCCATTACTTTTCTTTAAAGACATCGTCAACCAAATTTTAAAAGTAATCTATTTCACGTTTTCAATAAGTCTAAATTAGTGACAAACTCTTATCTAAAGAGAATCCAGTCTTAGATGAGAAATACTCTTTGCACTTGCACGTACTATTGAAATACCTGTGTCATGAGAGGAAGTGTTAACAAGAAACATCAACAAGAAGAACAAAAGACGGATAATAACTTCAATTAAAAGGGCAAAAGTGATGAGAAAAAAATGAAAAATAGGCTGAAAGTTCAAAAAAAAAAAGTTTCCGTAAATAAGATCAGGAGTGCTCAACTAAGGTTTTCATAAAGAGTAAGGGGGAAGAGTAAGAGAGAAGAGTGAGAGGGAAGAGTGAGAGAGAGAGAGAGAAAGAGTAACAGTAAGAACTTTCCGTGGTATGGGGGAAGAGGAAGCAGACCAGATCACTTGATTTCTAACATTGTGTGAGATGAGGACAAGTTACAGAATACAAAAAGCTTCGAAACTCTTTGTTCGCTGCTGACAGCTTAAGCGCCTAGTTCTGTCGTCAGGAACAACAAAAGACATCTGAATAGTTTTCGACTTTTTATTCCGTAAACTATTTTCGCCAAACACATTCACATATCCTCATTAAGATAAGGGATTTATGATGCTTGCGAAGAACTGTACTAAGCTCACGTAGAGTTTGATAGACAGGTAGAGAAAGAGAGAAATAGAGAGAGATAACAATAACAGTAGCGATATTCCAAAAACAAAAAACATAACAACCGAATGTTTGCCCTAATTAAAGCATCATTCTCTGAAGTCAAGAGGAGAAGCAAGATTGGAAGACAAGCAGCAATGAATTAAGATTGGCATTCCGTCAATGATAGTCGAAATTATCAAGTTTAAAGACGGTTAATTCGATGAGTAAATGTGTTTATTACACAACAAACAAGTGGCATTCTTTCGAAAAAAGAATGTCACAATTCTCTTGTCGAACAAACCTTTCGAATTCTCCTAATTTAGGTTTATCTTTAGCTTGGTGAGAACGACTCGCCCTGTATCTTTCTCTGCGATCTCTGCTTAAAACCTTTATATATTCGTGAGTTCTTATATTTTTCTGTTTCTTCTGTGATGACAAAATTTCATTGACTTCACCACATATTGCCCTTGAGGCAATCAGGTTTAGAGGTGCCGCAACTAAAGACAGCTTGTAACACTTGATGTGGGATATGTCGAGATTGCGGGTTCTACAAACCAATTATAAAGATAGAAAATGGTTATTGCATCCAATTGCTGACACTTGCCATAACAGTTCCAAACTATCAATGGAATGCTTCGAAAAAAAAAACTACGTAATCAAAGTAATCAGCAGCCATCAAAAAGAACAGATAGAATTTCTGTATCAAAAAGAAATTTTTATAGAAAAATGAAATAGGCAGAGAAGTTTTCTAAAAGACAAAATATGTCTGCTTTCATACGATGCATATATGTGAGAAGTTAATTCAAAGGCAATTAGCCACATTACGAAGAAGAGATGACGCTTTGCGAAGATAATACAAGCCAGACAACCGTACAACAACTTCCTTCATGTTATTAGTCGATTTGAATTTACCAACACATTTAACCACATTATCTACTTGTTGCAGGAAAAACAAACAGAAAGCGAGAAAGTAACGAAAAATGAATGTTCCTTGATGAAATATTGAAATGAATGCAACCGTTCTCTACGACAAGAATCCGATAGGTTAATGAACCGGATTAGATTTCTATGACTGTTATATTAACCAAGACATCTTCCTTTATTGGCACTGTATAGAAACACTCGCGAATTAATAAAATCCTACACCGAAGAAGAGAAAGATGACAGTCCATAAAAGTCAAAACTTGTTAATTAGAAGCAATTTTAACTTTTTTTCACTATGTGACTACAGGGTGACAACCGGGGGATGAAAAATGTGCTGCTAAAGCAAAATGAAGTAGAAGAAGCAACATACTGACCTTAGCAGACTTACAGCATCTTAGTTACTTGCGAAGCAATCCGATTCTTAGCCATTCAAGGTCTTTTCATGAGAGAACGAAAAAAGTCAATGATAAACGTAATACAAGACGTTTGAGCTGAGAAAATTAGGTTACTTATACCTACTGGTTTAGTAAAATATCCAATATATAATAACCAGCTATGGAGTGAAAAGGAGAAATGTTAGTTAAGACTAGATGAAGTACGAGAAAATGAAGATGGTCAAACTGTTCTTCAGACACTATTTCAAAGATCATCCGAATTCGGAGAACACTATGATCATTATTTTTGAATAATAAGGAAAATGTTTGAAAGGAGCTACAAACGACACTCTATGGTTTTCAAATAGTGCTGAAAGTGGAAGAAATGAAAAAGAAAGCCTTTTCTGTAAGTGGTTTTCCTTGTTTTGTTCCCCTTTGCACCTATTCAAAATCTCCTCTCAGCATTTACTAAACTATCTTACACTTGAAGTTTAATAGAATATCGGTAAACTTCACGAATGAAGCTTAGAGAAGAGTTAGTCCAACCTTGAGACTGTTAAGGCCATGTCTCGACATGAAGGACAGCTGATTGCGCAAGGAATGAACGGGTAAAACAAGCAGGCTGACACCAGTTCAAAAGGAAACACTAAACGTCGTGGGAGAAACATGATACAACTGTCGTTGAGGGAGGAATAAAGGTAAAACGAATAAAGTATATTTGATACGGAAAATTAATCTCGCCGATTGGGAACACATTATATTCGTTCACGAACTGATTGCTACGACTCAAAGTGTGCCGTGGAAAAGGATGGGAAATGAAGAAAGTGTACGAGCACTCGAATAATCAAAGAAACTTATAGAATAGGATGGCAGAAGAGACTAGAAGTTGGAGCGACAAGTTATGCGACTATGGGAAGAACAATTATGGTTCCATTTCCAGATACATGGAAATCCGATTAAAAGGATTCAAGCACCTCAAGAAAATGTTACTTTGGTCAGATTTCGAATTAGAATCAACCAATTCGTTCTTTAATTTCCTACCCAAACAAAGTGTTTTTTGTAAGCGGAATCTAGAGACCACATCTACAATTCGATAAAAAAAACGTGAATTCGTCAGCTTTCCCCTCTTCAACGAAGAGAAGTCAAAATTCAAAAAAGGTCTCGGTGTTGCGGTTGGTATGAGAACCACATACCGAACAACAAAACGCCTCCTTATCACTCTAGGCAAATGATCTATACAAAAGCAACAGTGGAATGTGGAAAACAAAAAGGCAAAATAAAAGACATAAAATGAAACTAACCGGACTAGTTTCTCCTCGGAAATAAATTTATGAGCAATTGGGCAGCTTCCAATCTAATTGATAACTCTGAAACTCGAAAAAATAAACACCATTACCATACTGTTTAGACATTACCGGTGAAAATTCAAGGTCGAGCATGTTTTCAAAAAAAGCGACAAAATTCTCTCTTAGAGAAAAACTTGTCAAAGGGTCCAGTTTCCGAATGTTATTGAGGGAGACTTCAACCGGCTAGCCAAAAATTAATTAATGTCAAAAAAAAAACAGTCAGCACGGTACCTCCAGCATGATTTGAATATATGACGGGAATGACGCCGAGTCCCTCTGCGCCAGCGGATGTATATTTAAGTTCATCATAGCACATTTCCCTTCTATCCCTTCAGTACTCTTTCTCTCTTAAAGAAAATAGTTGTAGAAGTTAAGCTTCGTCTGTCATTGAAGCATTCAATTAATTCGAAGCAAAGTTTTTCCGTTCTGGTTTTCTTTCGTGTATTCAATTCGCCTCAACATGAGACAGACCGGTTCTAAAGATATTACAAGTAAAAATAAACTTCCAAGACAAGGTATGAGACCCACTGTACACACTATTCGCAATGAACGCATAATGTTGTAAAATATTATTAATAATCAGTATAATACAAAACAATCAACAATTTCACCCGTGCAGCTCTTTAGCAGACTTTCCTCTTTGTTTCGGCATCTTTTTGTTTGTTGGATCCTCCAATTCTCTATTTTTGAAATAGTGAGGTGCAACTTCCAAGAGCCAAGCGCTTTCAATGACTGAGATCTACAATACATGTGTTGAAGGTGATAGGACTATGATCTCTTACTTCTCTCATAAACTCTTTACTCGTGAAAACTAATTCGAAGTAAACAACCCATCGAGGTGTTTCTTCAAACAACGATGAGTTCGGATGAATATGTACGGTATGTTTGTTCTTTACCGTTTTATAATGTCCTTAAAGGTGAAAAGTATAAAAAATTTATCCCTATTTGATACTCTGACCTGAATTGTCTAACTTTGAACAATGATGGAAATAACCTGCGGTGATTGCCTTTCTGATTGCAATATTACAGGAGGAAGATTTCTGGAATGAGTCGTCATAAAAACAAGTTGAACTGTAGACCAACTGGCTCAATTTCAACACGTTCTAGTAATTGTTCGAGTTGGTCGCGGACGTCACGAGCTTTTTTCAGTGTTCTATGTTGGACAAAGTTTTCCATGCACCTGCAATAAAACAAAGTTCAAAGTTGTCGGATCAGTGGGTATGATGACCATTGTTGCGAATAATTTGCTTCCTTCCATCTATTATAAACATTTAGTAGAGATATGTGATCACCCGTCGGACTCCAGAAACCCTTTCGTGCTGAGTCAGCGTGAATTATCATGGCTTTCGGCCTTGAAAAACATCTTCAAATAACCACAAAAACAAATCAACACCTGTAGAAAACAGCTGCATTACAAGACATCATGGCTGCAATCGTAACAATTTCCTCCGTACACTCATATCTGGAATTTACGCAGATTACTTTTTTCCTGATGTTTGAACAAACGTTTCACTCGCTAATATCATCTTACTCATACATGGATCTGTAGGGAATTCAGCCATACGCCGTCCCAACTTCGTTAGTTCACCCCGATGATTTAAAGCTCCCAAAGCATACAGCTGCTCGAGGGCAATGACCAAGTTGACCTAGATGACGATCTCCCACAAAACGTATTGCAATAGTTTATACCTGCTCAGGTGCATCTAAGAAATCGAAATGAATGAGATCATGGATTCCGAGAGATTTCAACATTAAAACAACATTTCCCAAATTTGTTCTTTGGATCTGAAGATTTGTTGTAAAAAGTTGTTTCCATCCTAACTACGTTCTACCTCTGGGATAGGTTGTTCTTCCAACTCATTCTTGTATGCCCAAGCTGTGTACAATCGGAAACACTTTCCAGGTCCAGTTCTACCAGCTCTTCCCGCACGCTGATTGGCTGCCGCCTAGAACCTCTTCATAGCAAAAAAAGAATTGGGATACGTACCTTAGATATGGTAACAACTTGGAGATGTTCCACTCCACCTTTAGCATCGAAAGAATTCTGTTTTGCAAAGCCAGGATCAATAACGTATGCTATTCCATCGATAGTAACCGAAGTTTCGGCAATATTTGTTGCAAGAATTACCTGGAAAGGGGGATCATACATATTATAAGATATAAAGTGAGCCAAACCTTGCGTGCATTTGGCGGTGTTGGCTTGAAAATCTTTGCTTGGAGGTCAGAGGGCAAATTGGCGTAAATGGGCAAAGGTATCAATTCCTTTATTTTGCTTCCTAGAGCTTTTGTTTTCTCTTGAATAGCTTCTTGAACCGATTCAATTTCTTCCTGTCCTGAACTTCATCATTGAACACAAAAGACAAGAAAAGACAAGACCTGTCAAAAATACTAAAATGTCTCCAGGTAAAGGCTGGGTCAAGTGAATTTGCATTACTGTAACCATAGCCGCATCAAGATAATCTGCCTCAGGTGCTTGAGTATAAAAGATGTCGACAGGGAATCTGGAAAAATGAAATGAAACCGTTACACTTTGCATGTGAAGTCACCTTCTTCCTGGAATACGGAAAATAGGAGCATCGTCGAAGAAAGTGGAGAACTTGTCAGCGTCAAGTGTAGCTGACGAAATGAGGAGTTTCAAATCCTGCATAAACATGAACAAGAAAAATAAGAAGAGAACAGACCTTACGAAAACGTGCAACGTCTTTGACTAGTCCGAAAAGGATATCAGTGTGCAAAGTACGTTCGTGAGCTTCGTCAATCATCATAACACTAAGAATGAACAATAAATATCAACATTTGTATACTAACTACTCACCTATAACTAGATAAGTCAGGTTCATTCAAGAATTCTCTGAGAAGCATACCGTCAGTCATATACTTCAAAACCGTTTTGTCAGATGTACAATCCTCGAAACGAATACTGTATCCAACCTAAATTAATGGAACCTGAAAAATCTTGAAACAATGAAATACCTTATTTCCAAGTTTACATCCGACTTCATCGGCTACACGTGCAGCAACAGACATAGCTGCTACACGACGTGGTTGGGTACAACCTATTCTTTTTCCATCATCGCAGAACCCCTGCGAGTGATAACTTTCAAAAACAAGAATTTTTCGAGACTTACGGCTTCATATAGATATTGAGGTAGTTGAGTAGTTTTACCAGAACCAGTTTCTCCTTCAATAATGAGAACCTGAAACAGTTTCTGATTGTTTGACTATCTGAATATCATACTTGATGCTCTCTAACGGCTTCTAAAAACTGCTCGCGGAAAGCATATACTGGTAGGGAGTTTCTAGTTTCCTGTATTGTCATTTTGTGTTTCTCAGCTTGGCTAACTTTTGCTTTCTAAATATAGAAACTGTAAAGAGCTTTATATTCTGCTGTACCTCATCTTCATCTCCCGTTGTTCCGGGCATTTTGAATGCTTGGACATAATCAATCTTATCATCCAAGAGAAGTTCAAATTCTTCTTGCTTAGACTTAGCATCTTTGGCTCCGTACGAAAGCATACTAGCTAGTAACTGTTCGTGTTCCCATTTCGCTCCATCCCCTGTAGAAGCGTGAGAACATTGAAGATGAGCTACTTCTCATTACAAACCTCCGGGTCTATCTTCTGTTTCTTCAACATATGCTGATGGTACTACTTTGGCTGTGGCATCAGGCAAGTGATATCTGTAAGAGAGAGATAGACATGATACTGGGTAGTAAGATGAAGGAACCTTTGAATTTTCATAACATCTGAAGCTTTTTCGTGACATTCTGCATATTCCAAGATTTTCTCTCGATATTGCATGTCTTTCTTCTCCTTCGTCGTAAGCCTGAGACATATTAGAAGATAACTTAACTCTTGTATACAGTTCTTACTCTTCATTTGCAAATATTGTCTTATCATCGTGAACTATTCTTCTCAATTCGTCAATTTTGTCATCTTTACGCTTTGCCAAGTATTTTCGGCGTGATTCCTCCCTTACCTTATCCATGTCCATTTTTACTAAAAAATATTATTAAAGCTTAAAACTATAGCAAAATGAATTCGAACACCAACGAGGAATGGAACCTATAAAACGAAATATGAATGAAAGCATGTTATGAATGCGCAGCGTGTACAACCGCTCCACCCGAAATTTTTTTTATAAATGACATCTTAACTTCTATGGATATTATTCCAATGGAGCTATCATAACTTCTGCCTAGCTGCTCATAATGTCTAATGTCAGTTGAGAAATTCAAATTCGCAATATCTCGGACGCAATTACGACCAAAACACCTAAACGCACTTTTATGCGCATGATACATGATTCAGACAATAAAGTACTTTGAATATTAACCTTAAGCATCGTAATCAAAAATCTGCAACTGAAAAAGCATATTCATCTTATTTGCTTGGAATATAACTATGACATCGCTCTAAATCTGATTGCTCGACTACTGTGACTAACTGCCATGGAGGCAAATGAATACTTCTCCACTTACGATGCTCTGCATAATGTAACTTTGACTTTTTGAACAGCTAACCCGAATTTTGAACGACATTTAAGGAAGCCAATGAACCTGGAAGGCTCTCTATTGACCTCCAAGAAACATGTGACTTATCCAAGATAGTATGGTCTTCTTTCGACTTCATGACGGGTCCTGAGCTTCGCTTCGTTTGGGAGGTAAACCTACAATCCCAACTCCTCAAATTAGTGATCATTAGACAGCAGCATGTATGTCTCTATCTCCGATAGACCTAAGTGGAGAAGGCTCGATCAATGATGCCGAGAGTTTGGACTCTTCTATGTCCATACAGTCAGGGCAGTATGAAGACATCGATGATCCTTTGAAAGTATATGACACAATATGAAACTTAGTTCGTAACATCACATGTTAGGCTGAATTAACTCCCTTGGACATTTCGGAGAGCATGCTCCTAGCTGATTCTTCTTTCAACTTATTCGGTAGTCCAGGTAAATGATGAACTTTTTATTTCATCAACCGTGTGCTCTTAGATGATTTACCGTATTTGGAAGATTATATGACGGAAAGTAGAAGTACCACAACTCTGACCAACACTACGACATCAACGTGTACTCTTAGTATCCCAGCGGGACCTAGGAGTGTTAGCAGTGTTCGTTTTATTTTATAATAGCAGATGATCAGAATTCATGCTCACATAGAGAATTCGAGTCGCATGAAAGGTTTTTTTGTTCAGGACTTGACCCAAGTTTCTCCGACCAATCATGATGGTGACTTCGGAACACCTACTGCTGAAAGTCAGAATTTGGAGTTTTCACCAACAAGAGAGTTAGTGCTCTCTTCTTATGACTTTTGAATCAAGCATTTTCAGAGAATGTCAGTTCAACAGCTTCGATTTGCTCGACGAGAACTTTCTCGGCAATCCTGGTTTGTGATTCTTTATGATTTGTATAATCCTTTTTATATTTTTTCTCAGCTGCTATCACTTCATGTGTGGATTCTGGAATTGGTGGAACCATGTCAACTCATAGCGAGTTGAGTGCGCTATGCCAATCTCCATTAAACAAAACAGAGAGTAAGAAGCAAGAGGAAGATCGTGAGAGGTATGAATGACTTCAAGTTCAATCCTATGTTTTTCTCAGATGGTCACAAGAAGATGACAATCTGACTTATCTTTTGGATGTGCCTTTTGACGCATCCGAAAATACAATCAGTGATGAGCTTTTCGTTTCCAAATTCGTTCTAGCTGAACAAATCTGCAGGTGATAAGAGTCCTAATAAGCCCATATGATTCAAATTTTGCTCCAGCACGCAACTTCCTCTGAATCCCATGATGCAGAAACTGACTATTGTTCCATCTAGACGTATAATGGTTGCTTCTTTTATATTTTCATGTGAAGATAATAGTGGACGACCAACTCTACACGCTATATCTTTCCTGCTAAATCATAAAAGGTGCCTGTCTAACAATAGATGAAACTTACTTCCTCTTACACCAGATGTGAATGGTTCATGGCTCGTCAATCCTTTTTTGAGAATGCTCTGATGGATTTCCTTCCTCGTATCAAGGCATCAATGTCTGTGGTATGCATATAAAGATATTTGTCGAATATTTCCAAATGTAAACTTGAAGGAAGAATGGGATGACGTCATCGTTCGTGCTACTTCAGAACTTTCCAATTTTGTCAACATTTTAGGAATTTTAGATAAATTTTCTCTAGTCACATCTCAAAGACCACTGATGGTGAGTGTTAATTGTCAGTCAATTAGGGATAATTTAAATTTTAGATAAAAAATACTTTGTTTTCTCGGAAGAAATGTGGTGAAGATAAGATCCTCATAAAAGTCATCTCGGGCGTATTGCAAAGTCAAGGATACTGTGTTATCATCGGCTCCAACTATAACTATGTGGCTATGGTAGTTGACCATTACCCAGAGCCATAATACTTCTCTCATTTTAGTTATTGAACACTCTGGCCCTATTTTTACCCGAAGAAGTCCGCTGGTGCTCTATTCGGAGTTTTAAAAATGAATTTAGTCCGTATTATAGACTTCAAGCAATACGAAGAGTAAATTGTCGATGATTTATTCATAGAAATCGTTATTTTAGAGTGAATTGCCTAATGTTGTTCTGAAGGGAGTAATGGCTTCCTGGCCAATTTGTATAGCGGATGTCGATAGGGGTACCGTCTGTATGTCAGCTCCTTACAGGTCAGAAACTCGTCCAGCTGTCACTTCTCTTAACACATGTTTTTCGGTTTAGCAGACATCGCGTTCTTCGCTTGAGAGCTGAAGTAGAGAAAGTCCAAACGGTGTTAACAAGTGGAGCGTTAAGCTCTAAGCCTGTGAAATTGTATGCTCCAAGCTTTTTTCTTGATTGAATTTATAAACATTCAGGGAGTTGAGCACTTGCCGGCCTCTCGAAAGTGTCAGAATATTTCTGAATCATATGGACAACTTACCTGTCGAAGTGAGTGTCATATGAAATCATCTGGTAGTAATGATGTTTCATTGTAGGAATCCTCACGCATGGGGTATATATGCCAATTCATGTTATACATAGAGAACCTTGCCAAAGCTTTAATAGAATACGTGAAAGTTGCCAGGTTGTTAGCTTTACAATTCTCCTAATATAGTACAATTGCAGTTTACCATTAATAAATGAGAAACAAAACGCCATGAAGAGTTCAAAGTTTTCGTTGCATGAATGTCGAAAAGCACTTGATCTTCAATCAGACAATTGGTTCCATGCTATTTTGGCGAGGGCAGAATTATTACATCCTGATATTTCAGACTTTCTCTACTCATAGCTAACTTTAATATTAACGCTGTGCGTTTGCTATTGTTCTATGTGCCTCCTAGTCCCTTTATTCTCAATTATGCAAAAAATATTTAGCTTTGAATTTGTCATTATACAATTAATTTCAAAAATCTTGATTGTAAGCTTGTGCCTTCTTCACAAACTCACTTATTGTTGTTATCGTCGTTACTGTGTATAGACCTCTGTGTTGAATTTTGAACAAAAAACCGAATGTGATGTTTCAAAAGTACAATGAATTAGACTCTGATTTAATTGCGACGAACTTTTAGTGGATGTAAGCTATTCTGGAAATTAAAAAGTTAATGAATTAGAGAGGAGCGAAGGGAATGCAACCAGTCTGCTAGCGTCTGAATGGTTCAAATGAATTTATGCTAATTGATCGTGGGCAATGGTAACTGTCTTGCAATTGGTTTGTAAATGTCACGTACAACAAGATTATAACATAGATACTTATAAGAACATCTTTTTGTTTTGTTTAATTTCAAAATTGAAACATATTTGCTCAAAAGCTTTTTTAATTTTCTTCAAACAATTAGTATTTTCAATTGTTCAGGCCGTCTTCTTCGTATATCGCTGGATCGACGAACAATTTTCTGGAAGACAATTCATGAAGCTTGCCAGAATGTAATAACAAACCTGTGTAAGGCGTAAAACTGACTTCGCTTGCCAACACGGAATGGTGAGAAGAAAACTTTCGAAACATCCGATCGGATGTTCTAAATTTCAATTAATTAAATAGAAAAGCTAAAATGGAAACTCACTCTGTAAATGTCGCTTGTAGCTTGAGCAACTAAGATGAGAATTAACATGATAAAGAGTTGATGCTTGAGAGAAAACTTCATTTTCCAAGTTCTTAAACGAGTTCGGTAACCTAAATTTATTTTTTGAATTATTTGATAGAAGAAATAATATGGAGAGAAAGTATACATATTGAAATGGTGTTGAAGAATGGCAAACTCAAAAGAGTCAAATGGCTCTTCGGCTTTCTCTCCTTTTCTCCACCCCTCCTCCTCTTACTCCACCTCCAGACATTATTAAAATCAAATCAACATAAAGTTATAAAGAGGAGAGTGACCAAAACGAATTAAGAGTAGATAAATTGGATTGTAAGAAATGGATGAGCACTTTCACTGAGATTGAAAAATGAAACTTCAATGAGACAAAAAGTTGATCTGTGGAATTGTTAAACGGAGACAATGAACAGCAAACGTTTTACAAGGATCTAGCTGAAGGGTGGTTAGAGCATTCTGGGATAAAAGAAATCCCCAAGTATTGAGAGATCATAAAATCAATGCATATCTAATCACGATAGAAGACGTTTATGTCGTGAAGGATGACTAGAAGTGCTTTCCAAAAAAGAAAAAGAAGTTTCTCGTCATTTGAATGACAAGAGTCATATGAATGGATTAAAGTTTTGGAGATTGCTCTTCAATCCATCTAACAAAGACGTTCTCCTCCGATGGCATCACGGTCTCATAAGAGTGAAAATGTCATGCTATGTAAGCAAATGACAGCTTCAAAGGTATTAAAGAAGAATGTCATAATGTCACAGATGTCTTGTTTTCAATATTGTTACAAGTTGTATAATGCGGGAGTCAGATTAAGAGATGAGAGCAGATACAAACTGCTTCACATCTAATATTATATGAAGATCTTTGATTTTGCACAAAAAATGCTTCTTGCTCCTCCAAATACGTTTCTCTCTCAGTTTCAACAGGCTCTCTGACCTCGTAAATTTTTTTTGTTCACGGTTGCTGTTATGGATGGCTGTTGCTATGACAACCTCTGGTGGCTTTCCCAATACCTCAGTTCATCGGCTGATTTGAGCGACAATGATTCTACTATATTTTGTTGTTTCATTCATTTTAACAATAAACTGTCAATTTTTGAATGATCAAACGAATTCTGTATATCTTACTCCAAATAATTGCTCAAGCATTAGCTACTTCGATGCAACGCAAATGAGGTAAAATGAATTGTGAGAATAATAATAAACCCAATAATGACAGTTGTGTTGAATGTGGCTTACATCAAGTAGCGAACATTGAAAAAACAAAATGTGTTTGTGAAAAAGGATTTCAATCTACAGAGGTTTCTAAACAAGGAATAACATGCCAACCATGTCCAGGTAAAGCTCATTCAGTTACATTCAAACAAGGAGTTATTCAGACGGATATCATTGTGAACCTTGTACAGAAAGTTTTTGTTTCTGTGAGTCGCATGAGATATTTGAAATTATTGACGATGGATTGTTCCAATGCAAATCCTGTCCAAATGGTTTGCAAGATATTTATTAATTTTTGGCAATCGTCCAATTATTTTCAGGCACTTTTCCAAATTCGGATCAGAGCATATGTCATGCCTGCGACGACATGTCGTGCACGTGCTCCGTAACCAAAAAGTTTTGTATATCATTAGTCTGTTGTAATCGTTTAGAATGAGCCCGAAAAGTGCCCAACTGTTTACTCTTCGCAGAAGTATTCTGCCATCATTCAGGATCAAAACAGAATAATGGTAAGTCTTATTGACCTGCACTTTTTTCCTTCCCGGAAGTCCGTGTTGGGACTTCGATTGGTAGTCGACAGATTATTTTTCTGTTGTTCAAAAAGAAACTTATTATTCAATACAGAATAGCACATAAACAAAACGATGATGGAAACGTCTGGGAATTTAGTTATCGTGTTTCAGGAGAAATCAAGTTTTTTGGATGAAAATATGGGTAAAGCCGTGCTGAATTGCGAGAATGGTTCAAAAAGGGGTTGCCAGGTTGATATGAGTTTAGATTTTCATGTTATCATGTCACATCACAGATGGTTGCTAATTTTTGTGTTCTACAAAACTTTGAAAGACAAGAGGGCACTGCATGTGCTGCGCTTGAGCAACTGCAAAAGACCTTGAGCATTTGGTTAATCTTGCTTTCTTGTTTGGGAATTTCGAAATGTTGATAATTCAGGCCTTATACTAATTTTCCTTTGTATTTCCCCGGTGACGCAGAGTCTGAGCTGAATAAGGAATACATCCAGCAATTGTACGTGATGAATGAGCAGCATGAGCAAGGACGTTTAGATTTTGCTTTAGCGATGTTTGAAAAAAAAAAGAAGCAAATGCTTAAAACTATTGTTTAGATATGACATTGAAGGGAACTTCGTGGAAATGGAAAATCCGGCCGAGAGTTTTCATTTATGCACCGATAGCTTGAAGTCATCTGATTCAATAGCATTTGGAAGGAGGTGATTCATTTGAGTTAAATTAAAGTTTTTGAATTCTGGTGTGAAAAGCTATTCACGAAGGAAATATAGTTTGAACTTCACACGTCACGTTGACGTGAAAGTGCCGTGAAAACTACGTGAAAACTACGTGAACCTTGTTTGAGTTTCAAAAGTCATTTTTAAAAACACTTACCTCAGACCCGGTTGTTACAACTTAGTAATACCACTGTGTTCCAGATATCTGAAGCAATGTCTTGTTAGTTATAAAAACAAATTGAAACAACGGAGCGGATACTTCTACGAGCCTTATATTGTTTACAAATCGACGGATGGAACTAAGCTTAAGTATAATATTCCGATACTTAATAGGAATCTGCGCTCCAACGGACAACAACCGAATTTAAACAATAACATGGACAAATGGATATTAACAAAACGATTCTATCTTCTTGATGATTACACTTTGCTGAACTACAATAGTTCAACGATTAACTTAAGATACGCTTCCGATATTGTTTTACATGTTCCTATTCGAGTAAGTATTCTTTCCAAAAAAAAGGCTTCCTCATTTTAATCTGTTTCTCAGGTTTCTCGGGACGGTCATATCAACAATCCGTATATGGAAATAATCTACCAGGATGTTCGAAGTGTTGATGTCAATGTAATGGTTAGAGCTTCATTCCAAGTAGTTTATGAAATTGACCCAACACGTCATGACAAAGACGTCGAAATAACCATGGCAGTGATTGCTCCTATTTCTATCTTGTGGGCTGCTCTACGGGGGTATAGGTATGTACTTCAACAACTTCAAGTTTGAATTGAAAGTATTAAGTTGGGGACGAAGAAATGGAAAACAACTATTATCTGATGCGTCTACAATTGTTAATTTCCTCTTATTTTCTGCTGCAATTCTTAGTGATGTATTTTTGCTGGTAATATTGTTCGCGAAATGAGGAAAAAGAAAATCTATTTCAGCTCACGGCTATAATAGCCATTTGGATTACAGTTTCATATAAGATGCAAACATACATGTTCTACGTACTTATCAACGAGGGACAGGTATTATTGAGCTCATCATGCTTGGAAGTAAGATTTTGATCTTCAGGAAACCAACATCGCGAGATATTTGATAACTGCACTGGTACTAAAGTTCGTAACTCTGATTCATCGGCATATAGTTTTGTCTAATCAACAAACTTTCTTCATTGATTGGGAGAAGCCAAAAATTGATCAGGTTCAAACTGTATTTATGATATCCTCTTCAACTCTATCCACCTCTAGGTTGCAAACAAGCTTACTCCTCCATCATTCGATATAACGAGAAATAGTAGAGAACAATCTGTCGTTGTTTGGTAGGATCACTATACCTTAGCGTTTCTAAACTGTTCGTTCAGGAGGACCTATCTAGTTGCCAACGAATGGAATGAGCTACAGAACTACCGGAAAACTTCACTCTCATTCCAACTGATATGTTTGATGTTTTGTATGGAATATTTAGGTTGGAGCAACTTTGCTCTAGCTGAATCTGGCTTCTCGACAGGTATGAATTCCTGATCTACTCGTTCATTATCTAAATCTATCTTCAAGAAGCTAGTGTTCCTGAAGTTCAGTCTACTTTCTTAACACGCTATGCCACCCTCATATCGGTTTACGGGATCATATTGTTATTTCAATGGATTATCCAGGTATTTATGGGAAAAGCTATTTGTTCTGAATATATGCTTCAGGTTACTATCATAGAACGACTCATTCTGGATCCATTTCATAACTTCATAGATTTATGTTCTATTTCGAATATTAGGTAATGTTTCGTTCCATCAAATCAATTGTGATGAATTTCGTTAAGTGTTCTCACGTTAACAGATTCTTTGTTCGGTTATTACATCCATGGGAGGTCGGTGCATGGTACTGCTGATACCGGTATGGCAGATATGAACAACTTTCTTCAGAAAGAACGAGTGCTTAGAAATTCAAAGAACATCTTCTATGCTTATCTTGTTTTATAGGACAATTTGTGCGGGAATAGAGGTCTCGAAGCAGGATCTGACCTACAAACTTTCTTGGTGAGCTTGCCTCCGAATTTTCGGAAAAAGTATGATGAAATCATGCTTTCTGTGAATGCGAATCAAGCAGCAGCTCGCATAAATGGAGTTGACGTCGCGACAGCCAAGGTTTTCTTGTTCTCGTTATTCTAGTGAGCACTTTATCATTAAGATGGCTAATACTGTCAGAGTTCATCAGCAAATGACAGTTTTTCTACAAGAACTCGTTGATCATTCCTTGACTGATTTGGATTACGTTATCAGGAATCGTACTTTCGTCGAATATTTGTTTGATGTTGATATTGGAGATACTTCGCAGACAGGCAATCTTATCAGGTTTCAGTGAAATAGGTCGTGAATTAACAATTAACGTTTTAGGGAGACATCAGAAATTGCTTTCTCCAGGTGTTTCCTATATGGCAACGAATGGGTTAATCAATCTTTCGAAGCAGCACTAACATGTGTCCTAAATCTGTATTTCAACAACTTGAAAGTCTCGTGTGCTATCACATTCGTACTTTCGAACACTATAAGGACGTTGTTCGCATGGATCAATACAAACAATCTCGTAAAAACGTCTTTAATTGACAAAAGATTTTTAATCTGACGAGGAAAAAAACAAATTATGCCTGAAGTTACTGGAATGCTTGAAGTCCAGTGACAGCTCTTCCCAAGATGAGAGCATGAATGTCATGGGTTCCTAAATTTCAGGTATTTGTAAGTTTTCTATTACATATCTCCTTACCTTCATAAGTATTGACTGTCTCCAAATTGATCATGTGACGGATAATGTGGTATTCATCACAGATTCCGTTTCCTCCTAGAATATCTCTAGCCTTTCTTGCAATCTCCAATGACTTTCCACATGAATTTCTCTTTACCAATGATATTTGCTCAGCGAGCACTGTTCCCTCATCCTGTAACGTTTCCCTTTATATAAACAATTCGATCTCATTCACTCACTTTCAGTCTAGCAACACGAAGGCAAGCTTGAAGTCCCAAGGTGATCTCAGTAATCATATCAGCGAACTTCAATTGAATCAATTGAGTTTGGGCCAAAGGTTTTCCAAATTGCATTCTGAAGAAATGATAGGAGGTTATAAACTCATATTACTTACCTTTCAAGGGCATAAGCTCTAGAAAGATGGAAGCATTCTTCAGCAGCTCCCAAAGCTCCGAATGCGATTCCCAAACGAGCATTATTTAGGCAACCAAAAGGTCCGGCAAGACCTTGGACCTAAAAATCAAGTATGAAACTCAAGATAAAAAGGGTGTTTACACCTTAGGCAAGAGATTGGCTTCAGGTACGGGAACTTCATCCATGGCAATTTGTCCGGTTACGGAGGCACGGAGAGACAACTTTCCTTTAATAACTGGAGTGGTCAATCCTTCCATACCACGTTCCAGGATGAATCCCTGAATTGGTTTTTTATAACTCAAATCACGGAGGTCAGGTGAACTTTAATGGCATTGTTGTGCTTATCACTACGAGCCCAAACTATCATAACATCAGCTACAGGGCTGTTTGAAATCCACGTTTTTGTTCCAGACAAACGATAAGTTTTGGTTTTTTCATCCCACCTTAAGCAGCAGCAAGTGAGAAGAACATCCGGTTTGAACTTACTTTGCTACTGTTTCCATACCAGCTGGATTTGAGCCGTGGTTTGGCTCGGTTAAGCCAAAACATCCAATTTGTTCTCCACTAGCGAGTCCTGGGATGTATTTTTCTTTCTGTTCCTCAGAACCTGCAAGTCTATGCTACACAGAGTAGATGTATTGAACAAACCATAGTTGTAAATGGGTCCGATAACTAAACTTGTTTGTACACTCATGGTAGAACGGTAACCAGAATCAACGCGCTCAACTTCTCTAGCGATTAACCCATACCCAACAGTTGAAACTCCTGCGCAACCGTAACCCTATATATAATTATTTACGAGATATAGTTTTAATCTAACCTGATAAGGAGCTCCGAGTAATCCCATCTTACCCATCTCAGGTATGAGAGTCTTGTCAAAGTCTAAATCTCTCGGAACATTTTACTAATGATCGCAACATCCTAACCCTCTGTTCTGTAAGCTTCAGTTACTCTGGGCAAGAGGCTCTGTTGACAATAGCTTCTAGTGGACTCCATCAAAGCTTGTTCATCCTTACATGCAATAGATTATAAGGAGTTTCATTTTCCGCAACTCACCTCAGTAAGCTGTGCGTTGAAATCGAAAGCATCCTTATAGTTGAATGACCCCACATCTTCAACAAACCCTTGTTAATGAAACTCAATCGAAGAACATACTTCGTACAGCTTTACATATTGTGGAAGCTTTAAGGATACTATTAGCCTTGCGAGCGAGCATTTTTGTTCTAAAAACACCAAAAGCTTTTAATTAGAGCACAAGAGTTTATTGTAACAAAGAAGGTTACCAAATATGGAAGTAAATACCTCATGAAGTAAACATTATGTAGAAAGGAAAAGTTCAAACTTTCAAAAATTTTTTTTCAAAGTCACAAAAGCAAGATAAATATGAGTAACTTATACTAATACCCGCGTTCTTATCTGTGTTACAATAAGGTGAATAATTAATTACGAAAAAATTGAAAAAAGACGAAAAACTAGAGACGCAGGTTCTTGATCGCTGCTTTCTGTGCATCGTTGAGACTTCGTGGAAATACAACATCAAACTCCACAATAATGTCACCACGACTACTGGGAGACTTTGGATTGGGAAGACCCTTGTTAGTGATTCTTAAAACGAAAACTTATTTCAGTTTCTAACTTTTTTTACAGTACCTTCTCGTGGAACCAGGAGTGATGACGTCATTAATTGTTAACTGGTTACTTCCTCCACCAAGCAAGGGGATCTCGAAAGTTCCTCCCGTTAATGCTTCTGATAAACGGATCTTTTGGATAAATCTAATATCTTGGCCTTCTCTCTTGAATTTTGGATGAGGCTTGTCCTGAAAACGCAGAACACGAGGTCAAAATCGATTTTTACAAATGTACCTTGATGATAAAAACAATATCAGCTGGGGTGCGGCCGGGGAATTGATCACCCTCCTTGGGGAAAGTGATTTTCGTCCCACTTTTCCATCCGGGTTTGATGCTTACAGTGAGAACTTTATCTTCTACCTTATGTGATCCTTCAGTTAATATTTTTCTGAGCAAATAAGAATGTATGAATATATGAGGGAAGAAGTACGTACCTGGTAATTTTCATTTTCTTCGTGCAACCAGAGAGAATATCTTCCATGCTAACCTGTAACTCGTGCATGACAGTAGGATCTTGTCGTGGAGCAGCTGGAAAGATATTTCATTTAACACTTTACTGTGCATTTAGCAAATACCTCTACGATGTCCATGTCCTCCTACAACGAATGGGAAGTCCTCCATTCCTCCACCTCCTGGTCCACCTCCCATGTTGAAAAACATACCAGGACCGAAAAAGCCATCCTCTCCACCAGTGAAAATTTGACTGAACATGCGCATAGGGTCCCCTTGGAACTAGAGAGAAAAGCAACCTTTACGGACATAAAAATGTTGACTTACCTCATATTGGAAACCAGCACCACCAGGTCCTCCATCAGCACCTCCGTTCTTAAGACCTTCCTCTCCATACTTATCATAAACTTCCTTCTTTTTGGGGTCAGAAAGTACATCATAAGCTTCGGCGATCTCCTAATAACCAATAAACTCACATGGGATATAGAACACCACTCTTACCTTGAACTTATTCTCAGCTCCAGGCTCTTTGTTCTTATCTGGATGATACTTCAGAGCCATTTTACGGTAGGCTTTTTTGATTTCATCATCGTTGGAGCTCTTTTGAACACCAAGTATACTATAGTAGTTTTTTCCCATTTTATTTTAATATCTGAAAGACACATAATTTGATTACACGTGGTCACTTGCAGGAAGTCAAGAAAGAAGTAAGAAGAAGAAAATGAAAAAAAAAGAAAGAAATTATGAAAGAAAATTAGAATTGTAAAACCTACACGACGAAAGCCAGATGAAAATTGACCACACCCTCCTAGCAGAATGGTCAGATACACCCTACAGAATGTACTAGTGATTCGAGAAATTTCTCCATACTCCTAGTACGCAAACAGCATGTTCGATCGTCCGCACCCTATAACAACGGACTGGCTTGCGCATCATTGGTTCTTGGCACTTTGCCAAATCACTGGCTGAAGTTGAATTTGTGGATTAAATGTAATGTTCAGCATCGAGCATATGTTTAGATGCGTTTACTATTGTTGTCAGAGTGTTATCATCCTAGTGGGGTGACATTTCTAGTTCATTTGTGTGTGCTTTTTGTTCCGACTAGGTCAGCGAGCTTGAACTTCTGAGCAATGTTAGTCTCGTACAACAACATTCCTTTAAGGATGACTGAATATCACTCAACTTGTCTTTACATCAGTCGTTTACTTAGAAATAGATAGTATGAAGATGTCCGATGTACTATCAGATGTTAGAGTGAAAGTCCGAGGATGTAGAACGAACAAAGAGCTAACCCAATGAATTATGTAGGTCTTAGTGTTTTGTGACGTCTCGATAGTATCACGATGTGTAGCTCTTGGAGCAATCATGTAATTTTTTATTCTTTGAAGCTTTTTCTCCGTTTTCAAAGTATGAGTGAAAGTAAATTACGGGTATTATGTCTTCACGGGTATCGTCAGAATGGCATACTTTTCCGAGAAAAAACAGGAAGTTTCCGTAAGCTCATGAAAAAGTATGCTGATTTTGAGTTTGTGTCAGGTAATAACGATTTCAAACTGTTTCATTAACATGTCTGGATGTGCATGACTCACAAATTTGTAGCTCCCTTAATCCCCAGTGTTGCTGATGAAGTGAGAAGAGATGATGCTCGAGCTTGGTGGTTTTCTAAAGCCTCAGACGAGTTTAGTTCTAGGGTTGGTTGTGCTTTGCTAATACCGAAATTCACACAGTTTGTTTAGGATGTTACAGAAATAGCAACAGGATTTGATGAATCTGTCAGTTCAGTAGTCGATTTTGTTAAGGAGAATGGACCATTCGATGGTCTTTTTGGATTCAGCCAGGGTGCTTCTATGTGTCACCTTTTGTTAGCTCTCGAGAAAGCGGGAAAAATTCAATTGAACTTCAAGTTCGCCATTCTATGTGCTGGTTTTCTTAGTCTGTCTTCTGTTCATAGTTCATTGCTAACCTATAACTTTGATATTCCTTCATTTCATATTTACGGTGAGAGTGATGACATCGTTAATAGTAAAAGAAGTATAGAACTAGCTTCAAAGTTTGAAAATAGTAGATGTGTGACTCATGAAGGTGGCCACTGTGTTCCTTCAATGACGAAAAACAAAGAGCAAATCAAAGAGTTTTTTGATAGTTTAGTCTGATTATGAAATGTTTCACGAAGTTCCTAGTCCTTGTTATTGTTTAATATATTTATAGAATAATAAATTGAGATCGAAACTTTCGTAGCTTGAATTCCAAACTCTCGAAGTACCCCCATCTTTCTAGAACCTTCTAGATTTTGAGCAGCTCGTGTGAAAGGGTTATCTATTTTTGAAAAAGAGAGGAAGTTCGAGACTATAATGAGTCATGTCTGGTCAAGGTTGTGAAAGAGTAAGCTTCTTGAACTTAGTACTTGAAAGAAGTCTACTGAAGATCTAGCCATTGATGAGAAATCCAGAGATGACCTGAAACCGTATCCACCAAGATTTGACAAAACAACTGTTTGCAATAAATAAACCAAAACGTAAATCTTAATTCTCTCACTGATGTGTGTACTGACAGGATCGAAGTGTGATACGGTTGAGAAGAGTGTCTCATAATATGGTAGTCGACTGGAGTGTGTAAGGTACGGTAGACTTCCAGACTGTAGTGTTTGTATAGTGGATATGGTAGAGAGAGAAGCAAATGTTGAGATGATTTCGAAGATTTTGAGGCTGATTGAAACTGCTGTGATCGTTTCTTGTTGTTGTGAAGTAATAAAACAGTTGAGATGACAAGAGTTGAGGTCAATAGGTTCAGTTCCTGTATACAACTGATTTATCTTAAGCCGCTAATAAAAAGTACGTAATTACGTACTTCGGATAAAGGGCGGAGCTAAGGGGAGAGCTTTGTGCTAGAGCGCCAATTGTTCAGTTTCTACAACGTAAAGTGAAGTTCGGGAATGTTTTTGTGTTTCATTTAACTGTTTAATCTGTCTTAACCAATAACAACACTGTTTTTGGGATATTCTCTGGAGTTTATTATAGTCAGTCTTGAATATCGTAACAGATATTTGTGATCTCAGATTGGAGATAATTTTGAAATTTGTTTAGATGATTAAGATATGGGCAACAATATAAGCGAAGAAGCTCGTAACGATCAAAAAAATTTTTCCCGATCATCAAACTTGGATCAATTAGGACAAAAATTCAGAGTGTATATTCATAGACGAAATAAGATTTATCATGGTTCGATATATCACCAGACTTTTCAAAAAAAAAGCTTTTTCAGCTTTTTTGAGAATAACCCCAGAAGATATCATTCTTGAAAAGTCGAAATCAGACGTAATCTCTTGGCCTCTTCAGCTTATTCGTAGATATGGCTATACTTCCGCGGGTACTTATTTTCTTACATTATCTTATAACTTTCATCATGCTGGTAGGTGTTTTTTTCTTCGAGAGTGGTCGAAGATGTTTGACAGGAGAAGGCCTACATTGTTTTCAAACACAAAGTGCTGACTTTATCTTCCAGGTAAGCATTTCGCTTCTGTTCATATCAAAATTATTTTCTTCTCTAGCTCGTACAGAAATATATAAAAGATAATGCTGATATCAAAAAAAATGAAATGCTTAAAAGAACAGAGAGATCTCGTAGTACAGGGCCAGTAGTAACAACATGCATGTCTTCCCCATCCCGTATCAACACTATCCAGAGGTTCGGAAGTGAAGGTATTTTCAGCTCAAATTCTCTTTGAGATATTCGTTTGAGGTTGTGGGATATGTACTGATTTTTTATCAGAGCCCAGTAGCTATAATTCGTATCCTAAAACTGCTCCTGCAGGATATAGGTTGCGTAAAGTGTTCATGCCTCATCCCCCTAGAGCAAGGTTTGTCTATAAGGCAAACAAGCAAATGACCCTCATTATAGAAGTGTTGGTGACGAGGACTTTGATCCTCATCGGTTAACTTCAGAGCATTTCCATTCACAGCAAATTTCTAAGCCTACTGATTCAGCGATTGTTGGTAATATCATGTAAGCTTAATAACAAATAGCGCGTTCAAGACAAAAACTCTTCCAGATCAGAATCTCATAACCCAACGCTGAATGATACCGTGGCGAGTGACAGCTTACCACCTAGGGCAAATTCTGTAGGGAGCAGATTTTCTGTTAACTCTGCCACTCTTTCTCATTTCCCATATGTCAATATGGCTTTACACGAGGGAGGTTAGTTCAAGTACAAGGAATATCATCCATATCTTTGGTACTGCAGGTTCCGCTGCATCCCTGAACGGTAACGTCAACAATAAGCCGTTGACACCTCCCACAACACCAACAACTACTGTTTTTCCGCTCAAATGGTAATAAGATTATTCCGTATCTTCGTAATATTCTTATTTCAAGGGATGCTGGAGCAGGAGCTACAAACATTTTATGCTTTGCTAGGCCGTCTCCCTCTAAAAGCGAACCTGCGGATAAGAGCGGTGCGACCACTCTATCCCGTTATGTAAATCTTTCTGAGGTGAGACTGAACAGTACTGTGTTCGAAATATATCAAATTTCTTAGGTTGGATCGCGAACTCTCATGGAGAAGGAATGTCCTCCTCCCGTTCCCCGTTTAAACTACGCAGACGTCAGTACAAATGAAGATAGGACGTCTGGCAGGTTAGGATTTATGGATTTACAAAATTTTAAACTTCGGTTTAAGAAGTTTATCTATTGGGAAAAAGGCTGATGTGGAATTCTCTCGACTTAACTACGCTCAAATTGATGCAGAAAAAACCAGGGCTTTGCAGGTAAGCCGTTGTTTCAACTATGAAGGTACATTTCATTTCGTTGTAGGCCGCTGCTTATACGGAGCAACGCTGTGGTAATGGAGTGAAACGTAGAAATGCTACAAGCTCATAAGTTGTTAATTTCAATGCTTCAATCGAGTATGCTCGACGAGATGACGAAGAAGCCAATGATCTGTATGTTTCTGATCTATAATTTTGAAGACTTCTCATTCTGATATTTTTTCCTAGTCAAAGTATAAAGTGGTAAAACAATAAAAATCTATTATTAGCTTTGTCCAAGTTGACTCACAAACGAATGATTGATGCATAGCTGCAGTTTCGATTCAATCCGGAACTGCAATGTTCAAGAATGATAACAAAATATATATATTTTTTATTTTGAATTTTTTTTGTAAGTTGAAAAAAGGGGCGAAACAGGGCTAAAACGCCTCACGTCAAGTTCACGTGAGTTACGTGGAAAACGTGCGTGACCTTACGTGTGATGTTTTTCATTGTCACTTGTCATTCAAAGAAGAAGTAAAAAAGAGACTGGTTGGTTCTCATTTCTATGGAAGAAAAAAATTTTGAAATGCAGGAATTTCATTGATTTTAATTTACGGACGGATGGTTGGAGCAAAAATCAAAGCAACGGCAATGAAGGAAAAAGTGAAGAATCACAATATAATATATCACACAAGTATGACAACCACCATGTTTGTGCCACAATCCTCAACCATTAACCTTTTATAGAAAAAGAACCATTTTGAGTACGCAATTTGGCGTGCACATAGCTTTATCTCATAATGGATACACTTCTATATAAGATAATATGAACTGAAGTTGTTTCAGTTTGTTTGAACTTTATTTTTATCATAAGTCAAGAAATCATAGTTTTTTTTGTAGATTACACTTGTGATGGTCTTTAACAGCTGAATTCATGGCTTAAGCTCAAGACATCGATGTTTCTCCCGGTATGCTATTTCGTTTCATATACTTTTCAATAATTGGTTTTGTTTCAAGGTTGATCAAGAAGTAACTTTAAGACTCCCTGTCCCTGAAGGATATCCAGAAGCTCGCCCTGTAGTTTCGATAGCCTCAAACAGAGAAAAAACGTTCGTTGCTGTTGCTACAGAAGACTCTATATACATATGGCTTGCACATGTATTCTCAGTATCAAATTCGTGTTTCAATATTTTCTTTCCAGCCGCATTTGTTATTGTGCATCTTACGCTTATCAGAGTCTGATATTTTGGAGCGAGGAACTTTGAATCATGTTTATTGGCGATGCGACTCTTCTGCTATTGCGATTACTGTAAATATTCTGGAAGTTTCGAGAGTTCAATACATAATTCCAGACTTCACGAAATCATATTTTGATATACCAAGTCGATGTTTCTACTGACAATTGCTATAATGTTCCCAGGTCTTCTACCCATCCTCATCACACTTCTAAAGTAAGCATAGCGTCATGGATTGCTAATAATCTCTCATTACAGAATCTTTTCCTGCAATCATCAATACCCATAATCTCTCTTTATCCTTCTGTAGTTATAAACCTAGCAGCTACTGCTACATGGTATGGCATTCACTTTTAATCCCAATAATGTTTATTTCATAGCTGTGTACCTTTACGGGAAGAACTTTTGGTATGTATTCGTAACGGGTTTTGCCATCATATAGGCTGGGATGGTTCAGTTCATACAGATTTTTCTATACGTTTAGCTTCAATTCCCTTTGCTCATGATCAACTTCAATCTAAACGTAAGATTGCTTGACTTCGACTCTTTAATCATATGTTCATTTTGCAGCTGAATATATCAGTGATCCATTGGTGCATGCAATTGAAGCGGTTTATGCTCCTCTCGTAGGAGGTTACTGCATGGTTCTCTCGGATGGTAGAGGTGCCCTTTTGACATCCTCGGATTCAACGTTTCATCCAAATGTAATATTTTTCCTTGATCTCAACTAAATCAAACCTTGATTTAAGAGTATTCTTGGAGTATGGGCTCTATCGCTGAAAGATGCTGTGTGTGCTGATGTCAACCACAAATTCCGATCCTTAGTATTCGGTTGTATGAAGTGAGTGAAGATGCTACTGCTGGTCTTATACAAATTTTGAAGTGGAGATATAGCAGCTTATCATTTGGATGATGCCAATGGTTCTCTGGTTCAAACTTTCAGAGTATCCTTGCTAGTTACGAACGGCCCAGGTTTGATTAGAGCCTAACTGGAACTCACATATTTTTCTCTTTAGAAATAACGAATAGGCTCGGACAAGTAGCTAGAATTCAAGTATTATCATCTGGCTGTGCAATAGCTGCAGTGTGGTCTGACAAAACCAATGACCAACCTGAAAGCGAAAAAAAGGATGACGAGAAATCTTTGCCGCCAACGTTAGCTATCTTCACTCCGTACGGATCTCAGACGTGGTGCTCTTTGGAGTCTGTTATAGAATGGTATGAACATGCTTTTGTTTGATAAGTTTTTTGATACTGGTATGTTGTAGGGATTCTGCCTTGAGTTCCCATTACACTACATTGGCTTGGGGCCCTGAAGGATTTTCCTTGTGGCTAGGTAGGAACAATGGCTTATTCACTATGTTTTTAGCTAGACTAGCAGCCTTGAGTAATCCGCTGATGGTAATGTGTTTCACATATATTCGAATAAGCTTATGTAATTTGTAGGAGCACAGTGAAAGAGTGATGATGATGACAGGATCTAAGGTGATGGTTAGTCCACCCAGAGAAAGAGAAGAATGCGCAAGTGCTCCCCATTCGGTATGGACCACTTATACTGTTCCTTCAGAATACATCTCAGTAAATTGGCCTCTTAGGGTAATTGTTTCAAGTACATTTCTTTAATCATGCAGTCGTTTACAGTTCGCAACTTACGACGATAAGGAACCGAATATTTTAGTGGTTGCGGGAACACGAGGTCTTGCTTATTGTAATATATCACTGGGAAGATGGAAAATATTCGGGAATGAGAGTCAGGTATTAATATTGAGCTACTTCTGTTGAGTTTACCTTGTTTTGAAGGAAAGAGATATAATTGTGACTGGCGGAGTTTTCGTTTGGAATGGAACTGTAGCTGCTGCTTGTTACGATTCCCACTTGGAGAAAGAGTTACTGAAGTTCTACCCCTTGTCCCTCAAACTTGATAATCAGTTCGCCTCGTGTACAGAAACAGAATCTCGGATTCTAATGCTGAGTGTCAGGTATGCTCTCGTATGCTAGTTTTCGTGTTTTTGTTATTTTGTTAATTATCTAGGGAGAGTACTCTAGTCACATTTGATGTGGATGGTCGTATCTTCTTATTCCAAATGAAGAAAAATGACGTTAGCAATACAGACGACGTTGGAAAAGTAAGACTTTATCAAAGAAATGGTTTATTCATTGAATTACAGGTTTTTCTGGAAAAGTTAGCGGAAATACGTGTATTCGACTTGATCACGCATCCTGCCTGTCTTGTCTCGATTCAGTTGACTCAACTCAATTTGGAAAGTGGAGGGTCATTTTGCCCCGGAGTTGATACAGTTTTGGTTAATGTGTCTGGCCGTCTCATTACCCTGAATCCTAAGAACGCCTCCAAAGAAGAAGACGAAATCTTCCAGGTATGATCAGAATTTACTTTCTTTTTTCATTGCGGTTTTCAGTTGCAACAACCCATTATAATAGCCTCGTTTGTGGAACAAGTGTGGCATGATAGAGCATGTAAGTACTATGCAGATGATGAACAAGATCATCTTGGGAATGCCTTGTGGATCAACTGTGGAACTAAAGGAATGAAGGTTTTTTTTGAGAAAATTTTGATTCTCATACTATTTTTCTGCCTCAATCAGGTCTGGCTACCATTGTTTCCCAGTAAAAACAGTCAAACTGTGCAAGGTACCTCTTTCATTTCTCGAAGGATAATGTTACCCATAGAACTTGATATTTGCCCTGCAGGTATTTTTCCTTTTTGAGTTCATAAAATTCATGAGTATAATTTCAGTGATTTTCGCCAAAGATTGTCTAGCCGTAGGTGTTGAATCAGTTCTTCTACAGGTGAATTTAGGAAGCGACAGAGACATTCGTACATACAATCTTGCCCGGAATAGCGAGGTGATATTCCGATTCGAGACAATCACTTAAGTTTTTATTCAAGGTTTTTGTGCATCATCTTCTCCGTCAGTTGTTGAAAAGAAATTTGGGAGTGTTCGCTCTAGAAGTTGCCGGAGCATGTCGATCTCTCCCACATTTCTCTCACTCTCTAGAACTTTTGCTTCATGGAGTTCTAGAGGAAGAAGCAACGAGTAGTGAACCTATACCAGGTCAGATTGAGTGAAATTTCTTTATTCTATCTTCTCTATAGATCCCTTCTTACCAAGATGCGTTGCTTTCATCCAAGAATTCCCCGAGTTTTTGAAAACAGTTGCACATTGTACCAGGAAAACGGAGCTTGCGTTTTGGTCGTCACTGTTTGAAGTAACTGGGTCTCCCAATGACTTGTTTGAGGTTGATATTATCATGAACAGTGAACATCATATTTTCATTAAGGTATGCCTAAGAGATGGACAACTGAAGACTGCCGCTAGTTATTTGATCGTTCTTCAGAATCTTGAGAATGCTCAGATTAGTTTAGAGGTATCTTTGTTTTTTTTAGTTATTTGAGTTTCTTTTTGTCTGCAGCAAGCGGCTAGGCTTCTAAGAGAAGCTTTATCGGCAGGTGAATGGACTACAGCTTCGGACATGGTTAGGTTTGCGCGCTCTATAGATGCCGAAGATATGGATAATTTCTCCAGGTATTTTTTAAAGTGAATACTTTTACGAATACTTTTAAGAACCCCTCCACAACAAAAAACAAGCTCTCGTAGACCCACTGCTTCCATTTCTCTGAATGCGGGTGAAACAAACGATTTAGTTTTCTCTAGATTTCAAGCAGGTAATAACCAAAACAAGTCCCTCTATTTAAATTCCTTGCTCCAGTTGCACGCGTCAACAAAGTCCGTCATTCACAAGAGCATAAGGAGTCTAGTAGGAAAGATTCTAGTGGTTCTTCCAAAAAAGTTGGACGAGTACGTTGAGAGTTGTTCATCTCGATTGTTTTTCTCCTTTTTCTAGGCTTTATCCAACGACACCTCCCCTCCATCTCCAATCTCTATGAGCAATCCGATGGCAGAGAAAATGAATCAAATTTTGGATGAGCATGCTCAGCATTTATTAGACGAATATTGTATTAGAGACTTTGGTACAATTATATTTATAATAATCATAGACTCAATCCTGTTGTTCAGGTTACTTGTGTGCACACTTAGATTTGGACGTGAAGAAGCTGATGGCTCATAGATCAATCTTAGATTTTCCAGTTGCATTAACACGTATTCATTCACAGTTCGCGTGGTCCTACCCCGTCCCAGGGAAGCATTTTGTTGATCATTTGGAGAAGAAGTTCGGATCGATGAAAGTTAGTAGGAGTACAGCTTGCTTAACAGGTAATTCGTCTCTAATTATGAAAATCGAGTCAATATATAGCCCAAAACGACGAGAAAACCCAACCGAAAGTATTAACTGGCGAAGAAGCACGTGTGCCTTTACCTTCTTCAACAGATACTGACATGGCTGAGACAGCTTCAGTCGAGATAGCCAACCTTCTTCCTGTAGATAGAGGTTTGTTTGTTGTATAAAGCAATGTTCACAAGTAGCTGTTCTAGCCAAAGTTGATGGCAACGCTGTGGGTAGACCCGGTTCCCCTGAGAGTAGTGTAACGCAAGCACTTGATACTCCTGATGGAAGAAGTTGTGCTGGCGATTACCAAGGTATTGCGATAATGCGTATAATGGAAGTTATTGTTTTTTCTTCAGGTATCGAAGTTCTTCTTGGTGATTCGAACAATCGAGGACCCAGCGAGAGTCAGCTACAGATGAATTATATGATTCAACTGTTTTCAGAAGCTTCTGCCATAGATTGGGTGTTTTTAGTAAGAACGATTTGGTTAGCTCATATCTATATATTTTCTTTAGCTTTGTTTAATTTGTCGGGATATAACGAGGTTACGGAGTGAGATATCTACCAGTAGTATTAGTAAATGGGGAGTTGAAGCGTTTGGTCAAACTCGGCTAGGTGCTACCATCTTGCTCGAATGGGCAACTGTCAATTGGTTAGTGCTCATATATTCCATGGTTCACAAAGTTCTGCTTATAGTATTGGCTATGTTTCTGTTTTACAACTATTTAAAGCCCATCTTGACATAATCGCGGAACAAGTTGGTTGTCTTAATCTGCCCCCTAGGCGGGCTCAAGTTAAAACGGCTCCTAATACAAATGGTTTGAAATCGAGTGAGTTCCATAGTTTAAAGTTGAATAGATGAATGAGTCTGTTCTTTGATTTTCAATCGAAGGCTGTCGTTTCCCAGCTTTTCGAAAAAAAAGCTGATGGAGATCAAGAACATTGAACTTTGAATAGTACTAAATCAATTAATTGCTTTCAGATGGAGTTTTAAAGCATGAAGAACGTATGGCTCGTCCGTCGCGGCTCCAGGAAAGCTTCCGTCCTCGAGAACGTAGTCGTAGTGTTGATAGAGGACGTGATAATACTGTATCAGATGTAGAGGAAGGAGAAGGGTGTACTATAATGTAAAACGAGCTTTCCTAATGACATATCTAAGTTCGTGCTCATATCGAACAATCAGTTTTTCTGTTTTTTTGAAATGATTTTATTATTTTTCATCTAAACCCTTGCCATGTATTCTGACGGAAAATGATAGAGAAACTGTGATAAGTTTGAGACTAATTTTAGTTTACATAATAAGGCATGTACAATATTTTTTCATACAATCTTCTTTTCAAGTCTTTAATAAGAAAGTATAAAAGCAATAAGTGGTTTTAAGATAAATATTTCTTTTTTTGTGTTTTTTGATGAGACTGTATTGGTGTTGTGTTGTATCAAGATGTACCTTTTGTATGAGCATTGAGATTTTATTTCTTGGTATAGTCGCTTGTTGTATGTGTGGCTAGTGCCTGATACAATTCAAACAGCTTGTTTACTTTCTGATGTCAAATGTTTGTGGGAGATTTCTTTTTTTTCTGATATCAGAGATGACTGGTAGGATTCCACGTCGGAAACGGATCTGCAAAGAGAAGTTGGAAACATGTGTAATTGCTTTATGAACCTTTGCATCCAGAGAACTATCCTTGTTGGCTGTGTTTGGAGCAAGTCGAATTGCTGAAACGTTGATGAGTTTGGGAGTGCTTGCGAATGATCTTACCGAGACTTGAAGAGATGGACGCGATCAAGGTTATAAGGAAGACGAGGTTGAAGAGGTTCATCCTATCTGAAAAAGAGGTTAGTTGATTGAAGCTTCAAAAAAATGAATGGTGAATGGATAATGAGCGGAAATGAGAATTTAAACAGGTTGTGAAAGATTGTTTGGTGTGAGAATGAACTCTATTGAGGAATTGAACTACATTACAAATCCTCAATCCTGAATAAATAATGGGAGCCAGGAAGGATTCTCGATAGATGATGATATTTCGGGAAAATGACTTTATTAATATAAAATTCAAACAATCATTTATTTGGACAACAATGATGAAGTATGTATGAGAAAGGAGTGGGAAACGTGAAATCTTACTTGTTATCAAGAGAAAGTAATGTAATGGATGTTCGGAGAGAAAGACATGCAAATGAGAAAGGAGGTAGATGACACAGTTCTTAGTAGCATTTCACCTCTCGGTACACTGTGGAAATAAGTCATAGATGGCATACACGTAGTGGTTGGGAAATATCTATATTAGCAACTATAACAGATGGCTGTGGACCCGAATAAGAAAATGCATTGAGATTCGAAAAAATTAGAATTAGGAATAGTTTTCAACCGCGAATAGGCGAGCTGCGTTTTTGGGCTTTGTTTGGAGATAAATGAACATCAAAAAGCCAAAGAGCACTAATACGGACATCATTCCAGCTGTCAGATACGCACAGATCAGAAAGGACACCGACCATTCTCGATTAACCAATTCTGTCCTTAAATTGGAAAAAAATGGGAGAGACAGTTGTGAAAACAAATATCTGCCTTACCAAGATATCAGCTGACTTGCTCGAGTTGGACTCGCGGCATTCTCAGCTCCTCCAGCAACAGTTATAAGAGGATGACTTGTTGTTGCTGTTATTGACTTAAGAGTTGTTGTTTCAATTGGAAGACCAACAGCATTCATTGCTTTGTTTTTGCCTTAAAAGTATGAATTCGTAAATGCTCAGAGATGGTCATGTAATTTGGAAATTACATAAGTACACTCAAACATTCATAGGCTCTCATGTTTACTTGTCTTTATGAACTTCACAGGAGGAACTTCCAAATGAAAAGTTCTTCCATTTAAATTTGAACTTTTCGAATGAATTTCGGAATTTCGAAAATGGAAATGCTTACCTGATAGTCTAGGGTTGACAGGAGTTGTTGTGAAGACTGAAAGTAAAGTGTTAGTTCTGTGAAAGTACGGTGAGATTTACCATCGTTGTCGGTCAAAAGAATTGAGCGGATCAAACAGCAGGGGACATCCTGAGGAATTAGAATCTGGAACGAATTCACTTTTGTGTTTTTCGTACTGATGAGCTTCTCACTCCTAAAGAATCCGAAAATCGTTCTTTCGGTCGTCGATATATTTGATTGTCGATATGAAGCTCATAAAAACTATATGAAGAAGTAATCTGTAAAGCAAGGAATGCTTACAAGTAGACGAGATTAGAACCTACGTTGATAAGGATTGGCCTACGATTGTACTCTCGACATCCACCAACGGCCAATGGAGGTTTTGTGATGTTAATGGATGAAATGGACGATACATCAATCTTTTCTAGATAATCTCCATCGAATAGAAAACTAAAGATGGAAGTGTCGTGGCTGGGTGATGAGATGACTAGATTGAGCCTATAAATGTCTATGGTTAATCCATTTATTCCTCTTATACAACCTATCACAAGTTTGAAACACGTTTAAATCCATATAAGCTTTCTGGCCGGGATTCAGCTTGAAGTAATGCCATTCGTTGATTTGTAACAGTTTCTGAGAAAGCCAGGTAAAAGAGCGTCGTTTGTAATTACATACCGCATAGGTTAACTGGCCGAAGAAACTGATTAGAAGAGTGAGAAACATTGTGTGAATCCGCTATGAGGACATATTCTGGAAATGAGAATTCACTCAAACCAAAACTTGATGAAAAATACGCTAGCGAGGACTTAGGTGAGGGGAAGATGGCACGACAAAGCATAAGAAATTCATATGGTCCGAGTATTTGGTTGGTCTGAATACAACAAAAAAAGAAAAAAGAAGGAGGGAAACTGAAGGAGAGAGACAAGAAGAGAGAGAGAGATAGAGAGAGAAAAGCATATGAAGAGACTAATACGCGTTTAAGAGATGACGAGAAAGGGAAGACAGCGAAGGGAATTGAAAACAGAGTTGTATAAGATCGAAGCTTGATGAAACAAATGATAATTGAGAAGCAGATTTGAGGCATGAGACATGAATGATGACTTTCGATCACCTCAAATATTCATCTCATTTTAAATGAACACGAACAATAAATTAAAGAAAAAAACAAAAAAGTAATTGATTTACTTGAATTACTAAGTTTCTTCTCTTCAAATTTGCCATTCAAACAAACTTTTGAAGTAAAAAAAAGTGAAAAAGGAGATTTTCTAGGCGATAGCGAGCATTTTGTGAAAGTTCCGCGTGAAGTTTGTTAAAGTTGAAAAAGTTTTGCAACAACTAAAAGAGAGAGAGAGAAGTAGAATAGATGAATAGAGAGGTAGAGAGAGAGGGAGAGGAAGTAAGGATAAGGTGGAGTTACAGGTGCATGAATGTTGTGGAAGAGGAAATAAAGAATTTAAATTTTTTAAAAGGGAGAAAGCTGATGGATGAACACAATGAGGATGAGAGATGAGAGAGAGAGAGAGAGAGCTTCGAATGTAAGACAAAAAAAAACGTGGACGGTTACAACTCAAGCGAATAATGAAGATTGAGGATAAGTGTGTGTTCTCTTATGACTCTCTCACCCTTTTATTGTTTCTTCTACATATAGCTAAGCCAAGCGAACAATGCTTTTTATAGAAAAAGCTTTATTATTCATTTTCCTTGCACATAATTTCTGATCAAAATGTACTCAAAATGATTTAAGACCAATTGAATCTCTCTTTCTCTTTCTCTCTAACCTCTCTATGCCTCTATCTGTCTGGTAAGCAGCTTCCACTTTCGCTTTCATTCCATTCTGAGGGCATTTTGGGTGTGAATAGCGCTATTAGATTGAAGTAAAAGAGGAAATGACATTTCATCTTATTCCCAACTTCGTTTTATGCTTTAGATGATGACAGAGAGAGAAAAAAAAATTATTTTTTTCCTTGCTCAATGTTTCGTTATTCAATATATACAACAATCCATAATAAACATGAAAGCTCCGAAAAAAACAATTTTTCAACTCTCTCTCTCTCTCTCTCTATAGATATAGTGTGTGTGTATGCATGTCTCTCTCTCTCTCTCTCTCTATTACTATAGAACAGAATGTTTAAAGAAAAATTCAAAAATTAGTTGTTGTGAATAAGCAGGAGAAAAGAATGGAGAAAGAGAAAGAAAAAGAATTTCAAACAACATCTCAATATATTCAATACCTTTTGACATAAAGTTTTACTCAAAATGGCTACTCACATTCGTTATTTTATTAAAGTGAATTGGTTTGTATACGTATTAGAAGGTTCGAAAATAGGAAAATGGATTTGAACGATAGAAATGGAGGGAAGTAAGCGAGAATGAGGGGAGGAGGAGGAGAGTCAAAGGGAGATGAATGCAACCGCTCTGAACTAATGCTCAAGCAAGAATGAAGCTTTTACCTGGGGCTAGTTGTGGATGTGAGAGGCAATAAGCATTTTCAATTATCAGCAAACGTTCTGAAAAGAGGATGCAAATGTAAAAATGGCATATAAGGACAATCGACTATACTCTATAATATTAGGCAATATAATGCCACAGGTGGATATGGTGATGAACAAGGAGAATAGGTAGAGACACATACGATCGACGACCATCGAAGCGAACCGCCATTCTGACTCCAACTTGAAACAACACAAGTAAATTATTTTTTCATTTTGTTTCCAAAAGGTTAACGAACGATCTCTTGCTGATATTTCTCATCTATGCGTCTCCGTAGGCGATCCAAGTCTTTCGAGATTTCATTTAAGTAATCACAGAATTCGACTAAGCATTGAACGTTCTCTGTGTTGGTTACTTAAGAAGCTTGATTGTAAGAAGAGAAGCAGGAAATCAATATTGTAACCTTTTTTGTTCACAACAGATGTTTGTGGAAATTCAAGCATCGGAATACATGTGGATAATCGATGTATTGGAGCAACTGTTCTTTGAACAATCTTCAAACTTGAAATAACAAAAAAAGTAAAGAAAACGTTAAAAACCTTTGGCTTTGGAGCTCTGGGATGATCTGGTCGTTTCATAAGCAGGATGTATGGTAGCCAATCGATGAATACCTTTCTCATCTGAACGATACAACGGAATGTGTCGAAAGAGTATTCTTCATTCGCTTACATTCTTCCCCATGGAACTCATTTTGCGATTATGAAGAGCCAATGATAGAACTGTGAAGACGCATGAGCAGGACACAACCATTAGACAACAGGCAAAGAAGGCAGCTGGAATAAAGAGTACAAGGAATAGAAATCAAAGAAGCTTAAAAGTTTCTTTTTTGCTTCTTTTTTTCTTATTTTTCAATTCTTCCCCTGGTTTACTCACTAAGTCCTAGTTCTATGACTATGAGTAGAATGTCTGAGACAGATGGGATCAGTAGCTATAGAGATGGCGGAGCTCAAAGTATATTAACTTTCAAATTACGCGCGCTAACTGAGACCGCTGATTAACAGGATCAATGAACTACATGACTGATTTGAGCAAATCTCGAGAGTGCAAAGTTCTTTTTGATTTATAATTTGCAAAAATTATATGAGCAGACTAACAATTGCAAATATTGTTGGGCATGGGAAAGTAATACTTGGTTCTCATAGATTAATGAGTAATGATCCCCCCCCCACTCCTTTTAAGGATGTTAGTTTGTGATTCTGATAAGACTGTACCTAATATAGGAACAGATTTTGATTGCGGAGGGCTCATGTTGGAAACCATTTGTAAGAAGAAGATGACAGAGAGTAGAACCGTTGTTTCTATAATTCATTGTAAGGTATGATGATATCTGGATTAAAGAAACCTAATGTCATTTTCTCTCCAGCATCTGGTGGTAATGTGAAGCCCAAGACAGTCATCATTGATATGACTAGAGAAGGTATGATGAGGTTGATTCCATACGCTAACGTCCTCCTTCTAATTCTGATGTAGAAATAGAGCTCATGATATGATTCCTTTTCGAAGAACGTTACAACTCGTCTACCAGGAGTATCTATGATGAGATAAAGTGTATTTGAAGGATATTATGGAAGAGCTCACTCATTAAATCCCATTCACCATTCTTGAGATAGACTTGTAGATCAATTGATTCATTAACATAGTAACTTGCAGGATTATCAACATTGGCTATCTTGTTTGCAGTTATCTGATATCCATGAATACCTTTGAGAAAGAAGAAGATGAAGAAGAGTTCATTAAACGAGGTAAGCTTCTTACCAATGATATCCTTGATTAGAAAATCCAAGTTGATGTAGTTTCCGCTGTATGTCCAACTTCCCATCTTGAGATAACATGTTTGTTTATCAAATGGATAGTATGTAACATCTATCTGAATATAGAATTAGCATATAGCTATACTATACTATATAGTTATAACAAACTTTACAAATGAATTTAAATATTCCAGGAGGATTCTGTTGAACATGACCATCATAGTTGACAACGAAACGTGAGGAATACGTTGAATCAAAGACTTCTGATACACTGTAAAGATGAATTGAACGATGACGACATACTTCTACTTCTTTGCTCTGTCACCCCCTCACTTTCCATGATATGCTGGAAGTTGGAACGACGTCATTTCATTTCTTACCTGTTGAATAGTAGAATATCCGGTTTCCATAACTTGAACGGAGCATCTTTCTCACCAGCAAAACGGATATCTCGTATTCCACCAAACTTCTCAGGATCCCAATGGAGTTTGTAGTCAAACCAATGCTAAAATGGATTTTTTAATTTTCCAAATATGGAAATAGTAAACTCACATAGTCTACATATGCTAATATGGACATAATTTGGTTTTTTTCATCCTTCAAATAGCAATATGACGTCATTATAATGATAAATTGAGCTTACAACATCGAGAATTTGATTAAGAAACAGACGCACTTTGACATCTAATGGATCAGAGCTATTATAGACAGGCCGTTCGAAGTAATTGTAATTCTATAAAAGGGTTAGTATAGAGAGTAACAGAGAGAGAGAGATAGAGAAAGGGAGAGAGAGAGAGAGAGAGAAAGACATACCTCTTTCAGATATTGCAGAAGACGAAACTCATCAACACTTGCTAAGATATAACTTATATGATATAGTATTATTATAATATTCCACATAGTTAACTTGAATTGTATTGCAGAAAGTATTCTGTTTGACAAATGCCAAATGTCCAGTTGATACGACGAACAGATTGCCCGAGGGCATTAGTTACATGAGATTCGTTCAATTCAAAAGACTTTAAGATCAATAATGTGAGATTATGAGAGAAAAAATTGACTTTTAAGCTAAAGTGTCAGCTGGGGAATAATAAAACCTTTTTTTGAACTTTACACTTGTGTCTATTGCTGTTGAAGCTTCTTCTTCATCGTCTTGCACATAGTCATCATCGACGTCGTTATAGTCATCATCACCATGGTCAGGAGAACGGAAGGAGAAGAAGATGAGAACACGAAGAATATGAAAGAAGATTAGAAAGAAAAATAAAAAAATAAACAAATTAGTGAAAAGAGAGGAAAATTGAAAACAACCGTCCGTCAGTTACTGCTGTTCAACGTGTAAATCGCACGTGCACAAACTATCCACGTAAGTTTCACGTACATTTCACGTGTATAGCGTGAATGTGCTAAGCGCCAATCAATAATAAATTATTGAAATTTCGAAATGTTACTAGTACCTATAGATGTAAAGGATGATGATGATGACATCAATCGATAACATGTATCTCATATACATCTTTCAAACAAATACATTTATTATGTTATTATGTACTTTGTTAACTATACTAACTATGTCTTTTTTGATCTTTTTTTTTCTTTTCTTTTTTTTTGCTCATTTCTCTTGCTGTTGAGCAAATAATCAACAGCTCCGCCCATTTGTCTCCCAAAAAATGGGAGAACATGGTGGGAGTGAGGGAGATAGTAGAGAGAGATAGAGGTGCGTATATGTTAAGTAAGAGAAGGATGAGAGAAAGAGAGAGAAAGAGGAGTTAGAAGGTTGTAGGTTCATTTTCTTACCATAAACTACATAAAAACGAACAAAAATGAAAAAAAGAAAAGATAACACTTGCTGTGTCACATGTGCTTTTCGTTTTTATTTTTCTCATTTCACATACATATTTCAGTACAAGAGAAGCGAATGCATTGTTTCTTCTAAAACACATTTACTACTACTAAACAACATTTCATTTCAACTATGTTAGCTCCACGTGGTCGTCGTACATACTGTTTGATTGTCTTTGCATCATTATCAGCTGTCGTTAACTTTCCGGTAACTATATGTTATATATATATGCATATCTATATGTGTCTTGTGTGTTAAGGAAGGTTATGCTAACTCATATCCCAATACATCAATACAATCATTTCGTCGTATGATTAATCAATCACATATAGCTAAAGGATCTGAGGTATGAGTTATAGCTCAATTGTCATTACTATATTCATATAGTCAGGAATATCTGATTCTGCATTTACATGGCTATGGTCGGCAATTCTGAATATTTGGTTTTTTGGATATTTGATTGGAACATTCGTAACTCCGTATTACACGGAAAACTTTGGTCGAAAACGTAAGTTGTTGAATGAGATTTCATATCTGTCTAGACAACGGTGTATATACATATATGGTTAAGCAACTTTACTATTCGCTAATGTGGTGGCTTTAATTGGTTCTATTATCTCAATGATCAGTGTGATTATCCAAGTGCCTGAGCTGTTCTTAGTCTCACGGATTGTCGCTTCAATCAGTTCTGGAATATCATTTGGTGCTCTCATCTTATTTTTACAAGTTTATTATACAATATATATATTATATGATTAGTTATATGTTATTATAATTATAGGAAGCAACTCCAACTGATTATCGTGGAATGACATCATTCCTCTCGGAGACATGTTTCATTGGCTCAACTGTTCTTGGAATTCTATTTGGTATGGATATTGTATTTGGAACAAATCTGCCAGCATTAACAGGTACGATTTTCATATAAGAGAGAGAGAGAGAGAGAGAGAGAGAGAGATAGAGAGAGAAATTGAATAACAAGCATGTTTGAGGATTTTCGTGTATCCCAGCAGCCATAGCCATAATAATGACGATACCATTAAAGGAAACTCCCAAATTTCTTTTGCTCAAGAAGAAAGATAGAAAAGGAGCTCTGGAAGCATTGGAGTATTATCAAGGTACAGCCATCTAGAGAATATGATTGATTATGATATCTATCCATACACAGGTAGTAAGTCATCGAATGAGCAAATGCTCAATGAGATGTTATTGGAGAACAAAGATGAGAAAGCATCTGAAACTATCTTTACAAGCATTGTTACCGTATTTCGTGAGAGTCATCTGCGTACACCATTCTTGTGCGGCTGCCTTTGTCTCCAAGTATTTTCATTTTTACTCTTCTTCTTCTTTTCTTTGTGTTGTTATGAGAGAGAAAACAAAACTGTCAAATTCTAGGTTGTTGTTGGGATTTGGCCGATAATCTACTTATCGACTGACTTCCTCGAAACAAGTTTCTCAGACGACGCATCACAATGGGCTTCATTGGCATTTATTCTTTCAAATTTCATGGCCGGAATCGCTGGAATGGGAATTATTGAAAGGTTAACTGATTATCTAATTGAATGATGAGTCTGATTGAGAAAGAGATCGTTCATGAGCACACTCTCTCTCTCTCACTCTGACTCTCATGCTATTCCTTTCAACAAGGTTAGATGATGAAGAGAACTCTTCCATGTTTTAGATTTGGACGTCGTCAAATGGTTCTTGTACTTGGCTTGGCAAATACTCTTTCACTTACATTTTATGTTTTGTTTGATTGTCTAACAGATCAAATGCCAGAATTTCGATGGGGATCTTTAGGCTCATTAATTCTATTTGGAATTACCTATGGGTTAGTCGTATTCATATCAAACAGAGCATATGAGATATTGGAATATTTAGAATTGGCTTGGGACCGATTGCTTTCTTCATTACATCTGAGATGGTTGCTCAGAAGTATCGTTCGTTAGTACAGTCAATGGTGTTTGCTGTCAATACAGTTTCCAACTTCATATTCTCATTTGTAACTCTTCCAGCATATACGGTTTATAAGGTAATAGAGGGAGATACAGAGAGAGAGAGAGAGATCTTGAGAGAGTGGGAGTATTGATCTCGATGATTTCAGTCAGTATCATTCATTCCATTGTTCATAATTCCTTCATGTCTTTCACTCATATACTTATATTTCAAAATGCCTGAAACGATGGGACGGGAAGTTCACGAAGTAGTAGATGAGCTCATATCGAAATCAAAAACCTCCAAGGTGGGTACATTCTTGTTAATCTTTTTACATCATGATGTTTCATTCATCTCTTGATTCTAGAACGAGTCAGCTATCCGCAATCGCTTCTATGGTACCCTAGCTGACAAGACAAGTAACAGTTTGCAGAAAGTTTTATAATCAAATTTGATTTTAAATTATTTTGGATTTTACCAATTGCCGTATAAATGCTTAAACTATGCTAATTATTCTTTCGTTTATAATATTTTGTAATAAACCTTTTTTTCTTTTTTATTTATTCCTTTGCATTCGTATCGTGTCGTCGATAGCTCATGTCGTGCTGCCTGTGCCTGTGTTTCTCATTTTCTTTTTTTTTGTTCTCCACAACCTATTTGACGACAAAATCAAATTTTTTTTTGAATTTGCTAGTACTACTACGGCTGCTGCTGATACTACTACTACTCTCTCTCTCTCTCTCTTTTACTATCTCTCTCCCTCTATTACCCCCCCTCTCTCTCTATCTCGCAGTCAGCAATTAGCTTTTCGTTCAGAATTGAACATTCTCAAGGAAAGTTCAAACAATTATTTTTATTTCTTTCTCCAGAGTGTTCACAAGAGAAAAGCACATCAAAGCTATCGTCGTGGTAGTGATTGTGATCGTCGTCGTGGTCGTCTAACAGATTGTGTTGTGATTGAAGTATAGTACAGGTAAGGTTTCTGATTAGCTTCTCACAGTATATCCAGTCCATTCGACAGATATCCTACTTAAGACAAAAAGGTTTTTCGACAAAAAATCTTTTCATTTGTATCAAATGAAAGTTTAATGGAGAGAATTGGCATATGAAATCAGCTGCATTACGTGAGTTTGAATGAAAATAATTTCATTTGTTGCATGCATGTGGCAGAGATCGGTTGTTCCTTTATCACTCACTGGCACTTTTTGAGATTTTCAACTTTTCTGTTGTTCTCTTCGAACAGCATGAGAGGGAGATGAATCTAAGAAAGGGGAAAAGCACTGGCTATAGAGAGAGGGAAAGGGAAAGAGAGAGAGGAAGTTCTTTTTATTAAACTATTTGTCATAAAAGATTATTTACTGTTTGGTTGAGAGAGTGAAACATGCTTGAAGAAGTAGAAAGAGAGAGAGAGAGACGTGTAGAGAAAGAGAGAGAGAGAGGTGTAGAGAGAGAGAGAGAGTTCTCCATATATGGCTGTATATGACGTTAACTCGAAAATCTAATTGTCGGAAATAGTTTTGAAATACAAAAATAAAAGAAAAAAAAATTTTTTTTATTTTGAACAGTTGCAAGTAGAAATTGTGGTTGTCATGTCCATTAAAGGTAAAAACATAAACGAAAATGCAAAATCAATAAGTTAATTAGAATGTAAATGCTCCGTATGTATGATTTGCATATCACATGAACGCCTGAGGGAATTTGAACGAAATGAGGCAAAGGGATCTCTATGATTCTATCTCTTTCCCTCTCTTCCTCTCCCTCTCTCTCTCTCTCTCTCAATCTCTTTCTTCTACCCCTCCTTTCTCTTTATATATCGTCCTTCATTTCCTCTACTTGATCGTTGTTGTGATGATGATGAGCTGGCTCAAAGACAAAGATGATCCAATTCTCAAAACTCATTGACAGTATTCCATATAAGGAATGATTTCATTCTCATAGATGAAACATCATAATTTTAATTAATTTTTCTTTATTCAAAAACAAAACTTTACTTTTCCCTCCTTCCCTCCATCCATCCCTCTCTCTCTGTACTCTCCCTCTCTCCCTCTCTCTCTATCTCTATCCCTCTTATACTCTTCAATTTTTTCTTTTTTTGCAGCTGCTCTTACTTCCTCAACCACTTTCTAATATAAATTTATTAACTTTTTGCTTAATTTTTTACTTTCTGTTTACTATTCACATAGTTTGTGCCAATCGATTTCTCATTCAACACCATACTCTCATCTTTAACTTCTTTTTTTTCTTTTTTTTATCGAAAAGTTACCTTTCTCTTCTCTGCTTCCTCCCTCCCTTCCTTTCCTTCCTCTTGTTTCGTCTGTTACTTCTCCTACCTTCATCCCTCCCTCTATCCCTTTCTATCTCCCTCTCTCTCTTCTACTTTGCAATGGTCATATCTAGAAAATATGATTTTCAAGACTGTTTTTCGTTTATCCTAAGTACAATTTTATAAAATAGAATAGTTAACAAGATAATAAAGTAAAAGATAAAATCAATAAGTTCATTTGTATAACCGCACACAACGACAACGCCCTGTGTTCCTCTGTCTCTTTCTCAGATCTTTCTTATTTCATTTTGTGAGTCCTTTGTATGGCCAAGCATCTTCTCCCCTCCTACCTCTTTTCCTCTCTCCCTCTCTCTTTCTCTCTCTATCTTCATCTACAATTTTATTTTTGGTTCTAATTCGTAGTTTCAGACTTATAATAATATATTCCCTGAAATGTCTTGTATCTAATGGGATCCGTGCTTTGTGGGCAAAAAAAGAAAAAGCCGGTAAGTCTCTTCTAAGTTTCATTTCTTACTGTTTTCTTCATCATCTGTCAGATTGGAGGAGCATCATGGATTGGTAATGATTCCGAGAATCCATTTGATAGTCTGTCGAAGAAGGATAGGACGTGTCTACGAGAAACGTTTCAAGTAAGATCTGTGTTGTACTTCATATGCTCTCACATACTTGTTTCAGCGATTGGAAGAGCCTAAAGAAATTGTAGGAAGAATATTCTGTGATATCGTAAATGATCTGGAACCTGATCTGAAGAAGGTATATCCTTCATCATCCTTTCATGTCTCACTCATTCATTCATCCCCTTATAGGTGTTTGGAGTAGATCGTGCACCCAGAGCTACAATGACTAAAATGCCCAAATTTGGCGGACACATAGCTCGCTTTACGGAATTTCTTGATCAGGTAATAAACTTAATGTGATTGAGCTCACATCTGATTAAGGTAACAACTATGCTTGGCTACACGGAAAATTTGACCGGAGCTTGGCAATTAGTTCGGAAAACTGGTCGATCACATGTGAAACAGACGTAAGTTTTCATAAATTTTTTATTTTTCTTTTTCCATTCGAAGAATGACTTTGTCATCTGATTCTCACATTTTCCCTCTGACGGCAGATAACATGCCGGAAGCTATTTCAGCCATTTTTTCATTTCTTTCTTTCATCTCAAATGATGTGAATCTGAATAAATGAGAGAATAGCTTATCTGACAACGAACAATGGAAGTATACTGTCTCTCTCTCTCTAGTCCCTCACTTCTCTCTCTCTCTCTCTCTCTAGTCCCTCTGATTCTTCCACATGATTTGATTTGGAAAAGCTTCTTCGAACAGTTCAGATGAGAGATTAATGAGGATATTTATAGATTTTTACAAGAAAATCAGAATCAGTTGGAGAAGAATTATTTTGAAATAGTTATCAATACGTTTATAGAGAGAATGATTCCATATTTGACAGGAGAACAGGTTATCATAACTATGCTAATTATGCTGAAATGTATGTTTGAAGGAGTTGCCACCTGCTGATGGACAAGAAAAGAAAAAAGTTCGATTTGCTCAAAGCTATCAGATACCGCAGATTCAGGATGTGTGGACGAGGTCTGATGACATCATGCACATCGTCACTCATTCATAATGATTTTAAGATTTTTTGGAATTCTGATGAATCAGATGACGGACGCCTTCGAGTTGGAACGAACGAAACAGCGAATCTCTGAAACGCAGAAAGCTCTGGCTCCTCATCAATACGTTGAGAATAATGAAAGGAAAAAGAAACGAATTCAGGTATTCCCATACTATTTATTGCTAACTATACGTATAATTAAGGAAAAACAATCAGAATTAGAGAATACAGCTAGTTCTAATGAACCAAAAGAGCCAGAACAAATGTTCGAGGATCCCTTCTAATCGGAGAGAGAGAGAGGGGAGAGAAGAGGGATTTGAAGAGAGAGAGAGCGAGAGAGTCTTTCATAGGTTGTAATGAAATGGGTACAAGAGGATTAACTAGTTCATTATAATTAATATAAAAACAGTTTTTTTTTGCTTTGTATCTCCATCCATCGCATCTATCCCTCTTCTCACTTCCCCCTTCTCCCCCCCCATCCTCTATCCTCCTTTATGAGATTGTTTTTGTTTTTGTTTGTTTTCCACACCTCCACTTCTATCAAATGTAATGTATGTGAGTTAGATATACTAACTATTATCATATAATTATTATAATTATAGGGAATCGTTTTAATCTCGAAGATAACTGTCAATCTTCAATTGGTTGTGTCGCGTACGTGATCGCATACGATCATACAGAATACCATATAGCTTATTTCAGAATATCAATGAATGGTCTGGTTCATAAGTATTCGAATGGAGCTCCATACTACAAAGTGATTCTTTCATCTCTGTCAACTTCAATTCAATGTCATTTCAGTTTGTGAATACAGCTGTAGCTGGATGTCCCGAATCGAAAGCTCATTTAGATGTTTTTGAAGAGATGAAGCTTAAAAAGGAAATTAGTAATCTATGTGAGGTAATTATACAAATGATAATAGCATAATGAGCTATCTATCTCTCTCTTAACTATAGAAAGCTCAATTGTATGGTGGTTGTCTTCGTAATCTAACCATATTACCATATATGCATAATAAGATATGGGTAAGGTAAGTATTATGTCTAATTACATCTCATACTACATCTATCATAGAGATATACACAAACAGAGAGAGAGGGAGAGGGAGAGAGAGAGATGTATACTATATCATATAGTTAACACATGACATTTCAGAAATCAAAATCATTTATTGCAAATGGCATATTTCAATATTAAATATGATTACTGTTGTTGTTATAATGATTTTTGTAATATCGATTGGATTGACTACTTCAAAGGTATAACCTTTTGAATCCCGAGGGGAATCATTTCACTCATATTGCGCATCCATGAGGGTTGTTGTACTTCTTGTTCTCTTACTCTTCACTTTGACATCGAGGTAATCTCCCTA